GACGGGTTCTGTGACTTTGTTTATGCACATCATCGTATCCCAGTTGCGTAGATCAATGTTCGTTATGTCAATCACCGAATTGTCTGGTCCAGACTTGATTATTTACAAACCGTCGTCAAACAACTGGGATATTGCTGAGTGTGGCGTTAAACAACAAATAAACAAAGATATAGATACAAGGGTTTATTATTTAGCTGAAGGTGAGATCTCTCTCACGGGTTCCGGGCGGATTCATGGGCCATAACGCCCCATATATTCCACCATCGAGGTGCATGTACCACGTGTGATTGGTCGATCATGTTGAAAGCTCTGAATGTGAAGTACACAAAACACGAAGTTTCAGAACTATGTTATCTTCCTTTCCGCATGTGTTCATATAGTAGCCTGGTCGTTTCAACATATACTTCGACTTCTTCACACAAGTAGAGAAAGCCAGAAATATCGAAGATGCCCTACAGGCTAATTTAATAAAACATATATGGTTTCAAAAACAAAGTATCATTTCGAAAACACCATAACACGTATTGAGAGTCATACCCTGTTATATCCGGGGATGTATTTAACAGCGGGATGTTGGAAAAAAAGAAATTAGCGAAAGACCTTTCAGTTAGAAGTAACACAAGACGCAATCGTAGAACGCTTAATGCCAATGGAAAATGTGTCCCGAAGACGAATCACTGAGACAGGAAGATGGCGATTTAATTAAAACTGTTATAATTAGATATGTGTGTATTATATATAATTGATAACACTTATTTTATGTTTTTGTTCATGTAATAAAGAAGTATCTGAAAGGTTCTTAAGATTCTTAAGATTATGGAAAGCGCTTTGCCATCAAAGTGGACCTGATGGTCAGGCTCGGCGACTTAGCGGATTCTGTTTCATGTGCAAACCGTTTCTCCCAATTTCTGTTACTGTTATCAGGCCCAAACGCGACTATTTACTGATCGCCGGAACATGTCTTTACAATGTCGTTTTACAACATTCCATACCCGCTCAGTATGATATATGATGTAGATACAATATTTAAATGTAGAATTTAATATTGTATCTACATCATATTTTCCTATTGTCTACGTTCATGTTACGTAAGTAATCTTTGTCAGTGAATTGCGTGTGTGGGATGTAACGTTTAAACTTTATAGAGAGTGGACCAGACAAAACAGTCTGTCATACAGATCCTGATACAAATATATCCAATACAGCCCATGCAAATCTATAATGTTTGGCAGGTCTAGATTACTGATGTATCTGAAAATGTAGATAGTCTCTGGGCTTCTTTTTATATATTTATTAAGATAATTTAACAACATTTTGACTGTAAGATATGTTCATTTCGGAGACTAGATGTTAGTCCACAGACAAACCAGTGGTTGTTTGAGTAACGCCCACACGATGATACGCAATCGAAGCATGCTGACGTGCTGGACCAATGTGTATGGACCAGCTATGGAAGGCTTGGAGCTTCATCATCAAGATTGATACACTCCGTGACTATACCCCACGTCACGCTTGTAGGGCACAAGTACGTCCTGCCCTGGCGTGACATGATGGGGAGACTCGTGTCATGCCACGGATAACCTGGATCACCATATCACTGGAGTCCCATACATTATACATAGTCAATCAATCACCGCCTGTCAATAAGATCGTCGTAGCTGTTCTATTTCCCAGCGGGCATGTTAATACTGAAAACATTTTTTTTCAATCCTAATGTCCACGTAATATACTTTTACTTCATACCACGTTCGCATCACACCTCACATTTCACTACCTACATCAAGTTAGTCGTTTCAGGTAACCTGTATTTCACACAGAGTGCTTTCGCATGAACTTTAAATGCGTTGGCAATACAAGATGTTTTATTATCAGCTGCATATCACGGCGTGTCAGCATGGTGTACATAGAGGAATGAGGTAATTGTTGACACAGTGGGGATTATTATCGCGGCAAGTTTTGGTTTTCAAAACCGCACGAGCAGCGAGTTGTGTCTGATACTCGCCACCGTTGATAAAAGACCCCTGATGTTCTGGTATCGACTATAGTCTTGAAGGTAATTTAAGGTACCGACGTTTACTACAATATCTGAAAACCTATCGGACTTACTCCAGTCAAAGTTGGTATGAGATTATTAAACAGTCATACATAACTGGATATTACATTTAAAGACAATCGGTGCATGAATAAAAAATCTGTCTGTTTAGCTATCACTATATTTCATCAACAACCAGACCTGTTGGTCACGGGTGGAACGAGCATTCATTGAAACAGCCATCTGCATAATGCTACCCCTGCGTCACAGGGCCACATGACACAGTTGAACCAATCAACACAACTCGAAAGGTTGCACGGGAATCAAGCACGCACGAATACGGTGTTAGCGTTTGGCGTCTCAACGTGCGTGATTCCCGTACCAACTTTGATTGGAGTAGGTCCGATAGTTTTTCAGATATTGTAGTAAACGTCGGTACCTTAAATTACCTTCCAGACTATACACATATATGTCGCAGTGATGCAGCTACCTCATTGACGGTTAGCTTCCCACACAGCCTGGGCATCAGGAGATAGGTCCCCATGTTTGTCGCAAGAGCCGAATAATTTGATCGGGAGATACAAATGATTGATGTCGCTAAGTGTCCGTCTCCATACCCCGTCGAATCATGCAGTGCCTTGTCCAGACCTTGGCTGGAGGTGGTTGTTTGTTTGGTCGTTTAACGCCGCACTCACCAATATTCCAGCTATATGACGGCGGTCTGTAAATAATTGAGTCTGGACAAGACAATCCAGTGATTGATATCATGCACATCGATCCAATCAATTGGGATACGATGACATAAGCACAACAAGCAAGGGTTGCTGAAGACTAATTCTTTACTTGGATTTTCACGAGTCTCGTTTGAGGTGAGGTGAGGAAAAATTAGGTTTTGCGGTTTGCGTTCCAGATTATTGCAATTATACCGCAATGTGCATGTGCGTGTGTGTCGTGTGTGTGCGTGTGCGTGTGTGCGCGCGCGCGCGCGCGTGTGTGTGTGTGTGTGCGTGTTCGCGTGTGTGTGTGTGTATGATATTAACGAATAAGCAATTTTTATTAAGAAATATATATTGTTCGTAAGTCATGCTCGGCTCTTCCCACTCAAAGCATGATATGGCCGGTCTCTGATGTCACCAGTGTCTGATTATACCATGCGACTGATTACATTCAGTACCGTACAGGGCAATCTCGTTAATAGGAAGTTCTGGGGCCATGAAAATATATTTTAAATATGTCGAGTCATCCGTATTTCGAGACAAGCAGAGTGTGGCTAGTCCAGAAACACCCATTGTGCCGGGCGACGTATTTATTTGGCGATAGTGGCGTTTGAGTCACTTAGTTGTCAGTGTATGTTGCGTGTGTCCTGTGTAGCCTGCTCATCAAAAATGGAGTGGACATACTGCTATCATTTTATGGTTTTCGGCCTTTCCGGCCACGAGACGGCGACAATGACGTTGATAAGCGTATACATGAACAACACATTTTGATTTTCATACGTTTATCACGAGACTGTATTCCTGAAATGACGTAAATACTGATAGGTTACTCCCACATTCCTGGGGAAAACCCTGGGAATTTTCTTCCTCGAATAAATACAGAAGCGTTGTTTCTGATCACACTTTAATCAGCGTCTTAGCATACACTGGGAAATTTACAGCAGCGTGAGTTTGCCAGCATGCCCGTGCACGAATATCCCAGCTCCTATCTATCCTAGTGAACAATACGAAGAAATGCACATCCAAACTATCCTCTCGATCCTTTGTTATACTGACAGTGACATCTATAGCAATCTATGATTGTGACAAATTTTCCGGATCAAAATGATCACAACAAGAACATGCAAACCATTAGTCGGGAAAAACGTACGATTCGGAAAAACGCACCCAGTGTATTAACCAAAGGGTCATAGAGCTGCGCGTGCAGCAGCACTATGAAAGGTATTAAAGTACAGGGTTTGTGATTGCCTGGCATCTACGTCAATCGAACAGTGACAGTTCAACAACATGCCAAGATTAACAGAAGTGCAGAGAAACAACGCCGCTTGCCACTTGCAGCCAGGGTTTTCAATGGGATCAGTTTCAACAGCATGGGCCAACGCGTGATCGGCCATGGTCGGGACGACGAAGAGTAACCACCGCCTAAGATCGCTACACACGACTGCGCCACCTACGCGAATGTACGACCACAACCACCTCAACCGCATCCCAAATACCCGGACCGCGCAGAATCTCCGACCAGACCGTACGAAACCGTTTAAGAGCAGCAGGTCTACAAGCAAGACGTCCTGTTCGGCGCGTCATATTGCGTCGACAACATCGTCAACAACGACTGCCTTGGTGTCGTCAACACAGGGTATGGCCTCAACTGTGATGGAGATATGTCTGGTTCAGTGACGAATCAAGATTTCTCCTCCGTCGAGCTTAGGTCTACATACGTCGGGGAAAACGTTACGCCGGAAACTGCGTACAGGAAGTGGTGGGGGTAGTGTTATGTGGGCGGCTATTTCTCATCATGGCAGGACATGTTTGGTCCGTATCCAAGGCAATCGTATGGCTCAACGATACATCAACGATATTCTCCTACCACACGTCCTCCCAATTGCAGTTAACGGCAACGGTGTATTTCAGCAGGACAACGCTCGACCGCATACAGCACAGATCACAAGAGCCTGTCTTCGCAACGTTGATGTTTTCCCCTGGCCCTCCAGATCCCCGGATTTGAACCCGATAGAGCACTAGTCATGTGTAACGTTCATTTCTGGTGTCGTCGCCTTGTATTGATGGAATATTGCTAGAAGCGGCGTAAAATCCTATTTCACTCACTCACTCACTGTATTATCTCATACAACATGCAGCAGGGGAATTGAGCGTCTTTTAAAACATGAAAGCATCATTGATAATAAAAATTTATTGTTTTGAAAGGTTATCATATACATAAATAATTTTTAAAACATGAAAGCATCATTGATAATAAAAATTTATTGTTTTGAAAGGTTATCATATACATAAATAATTTTGTGTCACAAAACACTTGTTAACAGAGCACATAAAGAGCTTAACTAAAATAAACAGAATAAAGCATTAAAATGCAGAAGTTGCATAAACTGTGCATAAGAAATAAAATTTACATTTTGAAACATGCATTATTCAGACTCATATTGAGTCAGCAGTACTCACGATATAAGGACACTGGATTAAAGAAATTAATTTCAATATGAATCATGTTGACATATAAAAAGCCATACAACTAATCGTGACTTGTGTGTTCAACATATCTTATATACATTGTGTCCTAATATATGTGCCACGGCCGTTTCGTAGAAGCTGTGTCCGTGATTCAAACTCATCCTTACATTATTCTGCCGGAATAACCCCTTTCTCCATATTGAGTGCAGCTGTTCTCGTTCAGAATACAAATAGTCATTGAGGGGAAATAACTCTTGTTTCCCTTAACCGGCAACAAGTCGTTTGTGTTTCCGTTACAGTTGTTTTCAGTGAAAGTAGAGTCTGCCAGGCTACAATGAACACGAGAAAGATGTTTCCTGATAAACATAACGTTGTTGTAGAAAATAACCCTGCCTGGCGCTCGGTATTAAGGTGATAAACGAGGACTGGTCGGTTCGGAGTCAGTGTACTGATTGAGGTATACGTGTTATCCTAACGCATAGGATCTCAATAGTTTTGCATTATTAAACCGACATCAATTCGTACAAGCAGAAACACACATGGGCATTCGTGTCGCTATAAGTGCAATAATCTTGTACGTGACGTGAAACCCATTTCACCAATCTGTTGCAGAAACCATATTTGCCTTTTCCTCAGTAAGGCTTAGGTTGGTCACATGGCCCCCTAGAGGTAGGTACTGCCTACATACGATTCATAGACAGGATTTTCCAGAACAGAATCGCCTGTATTGAGTGACATTGAACCTGTAGTTACGTTAGTTGACGGTCCAAAGAAAATGATTGTGCTAGTGACGTCGCCATCAGTAGTCGGGGGGTTCAAAAGGGGGGTGTAGGTTTCTGACTCGGGCGTCATGGGACAATCGTTTTGTCTTCTGTCTGAACTGAAGCTGTATTGCTCGTACACGACGTCGTCAATGTCGCCCATGTCAGGATGGGACGGCGTTCCGTTGTACAAAAGCAGCGTTCCCTGATTATTCTCTGCCCCCTCGTCAACCTCCGACAACTTCCGGACCTGTGGGGTAAGGCGCCTGTTGAAGGGGGGTCTGATGCGGGAGTGTTGAACGCCGTAGATGAGCGGGAGGCTTGGGGGTGGAGGGGGATATGGCACCAACATCGACGTCTGGGGCCTTTTCCTGCAACAATGTGGGTTATCTTAATTCCAGAGATATTTACATGTTTACAATTACGTGTGTACATACGATTTAGATATGATAGGGTATTTCATGTTGTTTAGTTGTTTTCTTTTTTGTTTATCGCCACCCTCAGCAATGTTCAGCATGGGAAACCGGAATGCGTGTGGGGGTGTCAGATCTTCTTACATGTACATGTAGGCTATGCGTCACAACTGGTTGCCATTAAACGTATGAATATCAGTTATATAACGTGTATGGCGTATCAGTTCAGTGCAGAAGTGATGTGGATCGTAGACTTTTACCAACACGATGCAACCAAGAGCACTATGATAGTGCTCACAGACCAAGAATCACTATGATAGTGCTCACAGACCAAGAATCACTATGATAGTGCTGACAGACCAAGGATCACTATGATAGTGCTCACAGACCAAGGATAACCATGATAGTGCTCACAGACCAAGGATCACTATGATAGTGCTCACAGACCAAGGATCACTATGATAGTGCTCACAGACCAAGGATCAGTATGATATTGCTCACAGACCAAGAATCACACTGATATTGTTCACAGACCAAGGATCACACTGATAGTGCTCACAGACCAAGGATCACTATGATAGTGCTCACAGACCATGGATCAGTATGATATTGTTCACAGACCAAGGATCACACTGATAGTGCTCACAGACCAAGGATCACTATAATAGTACTCACAGACCAAGGATCACACTGATAGTGCTCACAGATCAAGGATTACTATAATAGCACTCACAGATCAAGGATTACTATGATAGTGCTCACAGGTCAAGGATCACTATGATAGTGCCCACAGACCAAGTATCACTATGATAATGCTGACAGACCAAGGATCACTATGATAGTGCTGACAGACCAAGGATCACTATGATAGTGCTCACAGACCAAGGATCACTGTGATAGTGCTCACAGACCAAGAATCACACTGATATTGTTCACAGACCAAGGATCACACTGATAGTGCTCACAGACCAAGGATCACTATAATAGTACTCACAGGCCAAGGATCACACTGATAGTGCTCACAGATCAAGGATTACTATAACAGTATTCAAAGTTCAAGGATTACTATGATAGTGCTCACAGGTCAAGGATCACTATGATAGTGCCCACAGACCAAGGATCACTATGATAATGCTCACAGACCAAGGATCACTATGATAGTGCTCACAGACCAAGGATCACTATGATAGTGCTCACAGACCAAGGATCACTATGATAGTGCTCACAGACCAAGGATAACCATGATAGTGCTCACAGACCAAGGATCACTTTGATAGTGCTCACAGACCAAGGATCACTATGATAGTACTCACAGACCAAGGATCACTTTGATAGTGCTCACAGACCAAGGATCACTATAATAGTACTCACAGACCAAGGATCACACTGATAGTGCTCACAGATCAAGGATTACTATAATAGTACTCACAGATCAAGGATTACTATGATAGTGCTCACAGGTCAAGGATCACTATGATAGTGCCCACAGGTCAAGGATCACTATGATAGTGCCCACAGACCAAGGATCACTATGATAGTGCTCACAGACCAAGGATCACTATGATAGTGCTCACAGACCAAGGATAACCATGATAGTGCTCACAGACCAAGGATCACTTTGTTAGTGCTCACAGACCAAGGATCACTATGATAGTACTCACAGACCAAGGATCACACTGAGAGTGCTCACAGATGAAGGATTACTATAATAGTACTCACAGATAAAGGATTACTATGATAGTGCTCACAGGTCAAGGATCACTACGATAGTGCCCACAGACCAAGTATCACTATGATAATGCTGACAGACCAAGGATCACTATGATAGTGCTGACAGACCAAGGATCACTATGATAGTGCTCACAGACCAAGGATCACTGTGATAGTGCTCACAGACCAAGGATCACTATGATAGTGCTCACAGACCAAGGATCACTATGATAGTGCTCACAGACCAAGGATCACTATGATAGTGCTCACAGACCAAGGATCACACTGATATTGCCCACAGACCAAGGATCACACTGATATTGCCCACAGACCAAGGATCACTATGATAGTGCTCACAGACCAAGGATCACTATGATAGTGCCCACAAACCAAGGATCACTTTGATAGTGCTCACAGACCAAGGATCACTATGATAGTGCTCACAGACCAAGGGTCACTATGATAGTGCTCACAGACCAAGGATCACTATGATAGTGCTCACAGACCAAGGATCACACTGATATTGCCCACAGACCAAGGATCACACTGATATTGCCCACAGACCAAGGATCACTATGATAGTGCTCACAGACCAAGGATCACTATGATAGTGCCCACAGACTAAGGATCACACTGATATTGCTCACAGACCAAGGATCACACTGATATTGCTCACATACCAAGGATCACTATCATAGCGTCTCAGACCAAGGATCACAATCGACATTGGATGTAACGCATGACCACTAGATCCTGAAACAAATGAGGTAGGCTACTCTGCATATCGACACGTGGACAAGCCTATGGTCAACATTGTTTTCATGTAATATCTTCCCATATTGATCCCAGAAAAATAACTTGCGTTAAGACAAATTATCTAATTAGACATATCAAGTTGTCAAGGGAAGTCAATAGACTTATGCCGTAACTCTATCAATGTATATCTAAGCGTATCATGTATATCTCTAACACTATACAGATGGCGTGTCCTGTTGTTACAAGTAAGGTTAAGCAGAGCAACAATTTATAATGTCCATTGAAATATATATCTATTGGTCACATTGATTCTCCTCATGGAAGCGTTCTCACCTTAATTTGACCACTGCGACTCCGACAACGATGACAACGACGACACACGCGACGTAAATGATGACGATGACGTGAGTCGGGGCTGGAAAATAAACACATTGTTACATTGTGAATAATAGTGTGCGTGGGGGTGGGGGAGTGGGGTGGGGTGGGGTAGAGTGACATTTTACATGATACACACTTTGGTATTGTGCTGACAAACTAAGACTCATAATCAGGATGGATCTGGGATTCGAACCCACGATAATAGGATTGCGAAGTTACCCGGCCCCCGTTCATCCCCAGGACTAATGAAGACTTTAAGGAAGTGTGTATAATAAAGAAGTGACCCGTGAAGATCTGGGGTAGAATAGGTCTTCAGCAACCCATGCCTACTGTAAAAGGCGACTCTGCTTGTCGTAAGAGGCGACTTACGGGATCGGGTTGTCAGGCTCGCTGACTTGGTTGATGCATGTCATCGCATCCCAATTGCGTGGATCGATGTGCATGACGTCAGTCACTGGATTGTTTGTTCCAGACTCGATTATTTACAGACCGTCGTCATAGAGATAGAATATTGCTGTGCGCGGCGTTAAAGATGGTTGAAGATAGAAAACATAGCACGAGCACCGTTACAAGAGTTAATATGAATATTCTTCAGACATTATACTCTATTAAATTTTCAATACCACAGACACTTCCATAAGTGGCGACCATGGCTTACTTGTTACTTGAGTACTACGTTATACAGTGTCCCTATGCTTTGTGGAATAATGATTGCCCGAACTGTGTCTCCTTATTCATTAAGTTATCGTGTTGTTGGGTTACATACAACTTACTTAATGAGTCCTGTCCGCTTGTGCTAGAAGCTGTAGAAAAGTGAAAATGGGACAAGTTTAAACTGCATGTAGACACATACATGTACTTGTATGTTGGTGAAATTATAACTTGGTTCGGAAGCAGACAAACAAGAGCAGCTGAAAATACAGTACAGTATATGTTGATAATTGAATGAAATCATCCTTTAAGAGGTTTGGCTTACAAAATCTTGAAATCTTTACCATGAAGTTTCATGTTCCTTTCAGTATTTTCAAGGAAATATCCCAATGAATATTATCAAGCAATGTTGACGAGTAAATTGAGTCGCAAGCTACACATCCAAGCACGTGTGCTGCAAACGCCAGAGATTCTGAAACTGGCATAGACCTAGGTCATAGACCAAAAAGTCACGTATAATTCAAATTTAGGCAGAAGCGACCACACTGCGCCTGCTAGTGCGGAGTGAGTGTAAAACGCCACTTCCACAGGCGGGGAGACTTCAAAGAGTTATCTCCCTTTAAAGAGCAATTGCATCCCCGCATGCCATGCATTTAAATTTGTCGAGGTGATAAACAGCTGCTGTTCTGTCTGTTGGGAGGGATGAGGGGAATGGATAGGGCCGGAAAGTGAGAGAATGAATGGGAATGCAGATTGAGGGGGTGTATGTGATGCAGTGGATGGGGATGCCGATTGAGGGGGTGGAAGGGGGTGCAGGTTGAGGAGGTGGATGTGGATGCAGATCGAGGTTTGGGAATGGGGATGCAGATTGAGGGGATGGATGGGGATGCTGTGGATGGGGATGCAGATTGAGGGGGTGGGTAGGGATGCAGGTTGAGGAGGTTCGATTGGGATGTAGATTGATGGGATGGATGGGGATGCAGATTGAGGGGACGGGCTGGGGATGCAGGTTGAGGGGATGAGTGGGTATGCAGATTGAGGAGGTGGATGGGGATGTAGATTGATGGGATGGATGGGGATGCAGATTGAGGGGACGGGCTGGGGATGTAGATTGATGGGATGGATGGGGATGCAGATTGAGGAGGTGGATGGGGATGCAGGTTGAGGGGATGAGTGGGTATGCAGATTGAGGAGGTGGATGGGGATGTAGATTGATGGGATGGATGGGGATGCAGATTGAGGGGACGGGCTGGGGATGCAGGTTGAGGGGATGAGTGGGTATGCAGATTGATTGGGTGGATGGGGATGCAGGTTGAGGGGATGAGTGGGTATGCAGATTGATTGGGTGGATGGGGATGCAGATTGAGGGGGTGGATTGGGATGCTGTGGATGGGGATGCAGATTGAGGGGGTGGGTGGGTATGCAGGTTGAGGGGATGGGTGGGTATGCAGGTTGAGGAGGTGGATGGGGATGTAGATTGATGGGATAGATGGGGATGCGGATTGATTGGGTGGGTGGGGATGCAGATTGAGGGGGTGGATGGGGATGCAAATTGAGGAGGTGGGTGGGGATGCAGGTCGAGGGATGGGTTGGGATGCAGATTGAGGTTTGGGTGATTGGGATGCAGTGTATGGGGGTGCAGAATGAGGGATAGGATGGGATGCAGATTGAGAGGGTTGATAGGGATGCACATTGTGGGGTAGGATTGGGATGCAGATTGAGGATTAGGTTGGGATGCAGGTTTAGAGGGTGAATAGGGATGCAGTGGATGGGGATGAAGATTGAATAGGTGGATAGTGATTGTTGGGGTGGATGGGGATGCAGTGAATTAGAATGCAGAGTGAGGGGGTGAATGGGGATGCAGATTGAGGGGTGGATGGGGATGCAGATTGAGGGGATGGATATGGATGCAGATTTAGGGGTGAATGGAGATGCAGGTTGAGGGGTGGATAGGGATGCAGATTGAGGGGTGAATAGGGTGCAGATTGAGGGGTGAATGGGGATGCAGATTGAGGGGTAGGTGGGGATGCAGTGGATGGGGATGAAGATTGAATAGGTGGATAGGGATTGTTGGGGTGGATGGGGATGCAGTGGATTGGGATGCAGATTGAGGGGCAGGTTCGGAATGCAGATTGAGGGGGTCGATAGGGATGCAGATTGAGGGGGTGAATGGGGATGCATTGTATGGGAATGCAGATTGAGGGGGTGGATAGGGATGTAGATTGAGGGGTGAATGGGGATGCAGATTGAGGGGTGAATGGGGATGCAGATTGAGGGGGTGAATGGGGATGCAGATTGAGCGGTGAATGGGGATGCATTGGATGGTAATGCAGATTGAGGGGATGGATGGGGATGCAGATTGAGGGGATGGATGGGGATGCAGATTGAGGGGATGGATGGGGATGCAGATTGAGGGGTGAATGGGGATGCATTGGATGGGAATGCAGATTGAGGGGGTGGATGGGTATGCAGATTGAGGGGTTGATGGGGATGCAGATTGAGGGGGTGGATGGGGATGCAGATTGAGGGGGTGGATGGGGATGCAGATTGAGTGGGTGGATAGGGATGCAGATTGAGGGGGTTAATGGGGATGCATTGGATGGGGATGCAGATTGAGGGGTGGATATGGATGCAGATTGAGGGGTAGGATTGGGATGGAGATTGAGGGGTAAGTGGGGATGCAGTGGATGGGGATGAAGATTGAATAGGTGGATAGGGATTGTTGGGGTGGATGGGGATGCAGTGATTGGGATGCAGATTGAGGGGCAGGTTCGGAATGCAGATTGAGGGGGTGGATAGGGATGCAGATTGAGGGGGTGAATGGGGATGCATTGGATGGGAATGCAGATTGAGGCGGTGGATGGGGATGCAGATTGAGGGGTTGATGGGGATGCAGATTGAGGGGTTGATGGGGATGCAGATTGAGGGGGTGGATGGAGATGCAGATTGAGGGGTTGATGGGGATGCAGATTGAGGGGTTGATGGGGATGCAGATTGAGGGGGTGGATGGAGATGCAGATTCAGTGGGTGGATGGGGATGCAGATTGAGGGGGTGGTCAATAGTCAATAGGTTGCTGCCTGGTGTGGGTTTAGACGGGTATGGAAGAAGAGCAGATGGATACGGGATACTTGGATAGATGGGAAGCGGGGTATGAGATATAGGAAAAGTGGTTGTGGGATATAGGGGAAGTTGGTGTGGGATATAGGGAAAGGTGGTGTGGGATATAGGGGAAGGGGGTGTGGGATATAGGGGAAGGGGTTGTGGGATATAAGGGAAGCAGGTTGTGGGATATAGGGAAGCAGGATGTTGGATATAGGGGAAGGAGGTGTGGGATATAGGTGAAGGTGGTGTTGGGTATAGGGTAAGGTGGCGTGGGATATAGGGGAAGGAGGTGTTGGATATGGAGAAGGAGGGTGTGGGATATAGGGGAAGGTGGTGTGGGATACAGGGGATGTAGGGTGTGGGATATAGGGGAAGGAGGGTATGGGATATCGGGGAAGGTGGTGTGGGATTTAGGGGAAGGTGATGTGGGATATAGGGGAAGGTGATGTGGGATATAGGGGATGTAGGGTGTAGGATATAGGGGAAGGGGGTGTGGGATATAGGGGAAGGTGGTGTGGGATATAGGGGAAGGTGATGTGGGATATAGGTGGCGTGGGATATAGGGGAAGGAGGTGTTGGATATGGAGAAGGAGGGTGTGGGATATAGGGGAAGGTGGTGTGGGATACAGGGGATGTAGGGTGTGGGATATAGGGGAAGGAGGGTATGGGATATCGGGGAAGGTGGTGTGGGATTTAGGGGAAGGTGATGTGGGATATAGGGGAAGGTGATGTGGGATATAGGGGATGTAGGGTGTAGGATATAGGGGAAGGGGGTGTGGGATATAGGGGAAGGTGGTGTGGGATTTAGGGGAAGGTGATGTGGGATATAGGGGAAGGTGATGTGGGATATAGGGGATGTAGGGTGTAGGATATAGGGGAAGGGGGTGTGGGATATAGGGGAAGGTGGTGTGGGATATAGGGGAAGGTGATGTGGGATATAGGGGATGTAGGGTGTGGGATATAGGGGAAGGTGGTGTAAGATATAGGGGAAGGAGGCGTGGGATATAGGGGAAGGCGGTGTGGGATATAGGGGATGTAGGGTGTAGGATATAGGGGAAGGGGGTGTGGGATATAGGGGAAGGTGATGTGGGATATAGGGGAAGGTGGTGTGGGATATAGGGGAAGGTGGTGTAAGATATAGGGGAAGGAGGCGTGGGATATAGGGGAAGGCGGTGTGGGATATAGGGGATGTAGGGTGTAGGATATAGGGGAAGGGGGTGTGGGATATAGGGGAAGGTGATGTGGGATATAGGGGAAGGTGGTGTGGGATATAGGGGAAGGTGGTGTTGGATATAGGGGAAGGTGGTGTGGGATATAGGGGAAGGGGGTGTGGGATATAAGGGAAGGTGGTGTGGGATATAGGGGAAGGTGGTGTGGGATATAGGGGAAGGGGGTGTGGGATATAGGGGAAGGTGGTGTGGGATATAGGGGAAGGGGGTGTGGGATATAGGGGGTGTGGGATATAGGGGAAGGTGGTGTGGGATATAGGGGAAGGTGATGTGGGATATAGGGGAAGGTGGTGTGGGATATAGGGGATGCAGGGTGTGGAATATAGGGGATGCAGGTTGTATGGTGACTGGGTATTCGGGGTGTGGGGAAGAGGATGATAACAAAAATAACCTCCCAACAAATAAATCAACGAAAACATAATGAGAAGTACAAATTATAGCATAAGGTTTACTTCCTTGTATTCGTTTTAACTGTTTTGCCGATTTAAACAAAGCCTGCTATACTTCCTGATCACAATATACTGAATTACTCACAGAAATTTGCAGGCGATGTAGCGCTGGTCGTCATGTCGCTCCCTGTATGGAATAACGAACACAGGGATAGATTTAAACATACGTCTGTTACATTCATGTATGAGTATATTTGAATGAGGCAGGTTAAGACCCAGGAAGGCTGATGACAACTATTATCAAACACAGGAATAAACATAAACATATTATTTTCCCTGCATGTGTGTGTATTCAAATGAGGCAAATAAGGAGTCAATTAGGCTGATGACAACTATTGTCAACCATGTGCCTGTCTTGTCATCTACTTGCATTCAGGTACGTACGATACGTATATATAACTACATCCATCACGGAATACGTATATATGGTTACTCGAGAGACATGCACAACGCAGCATTAATTAGCAAAAATCAGTCGGATGTAATATATGGTCCAAAGGCAACATTAATTATCACTAGCCTGTTCCCGATCGTTCCTGACAATACAACTACTTCGGGAGAAACATTAAATTGTATGCAATAGTATAACAAACGGTGCACACTTATTGACCGGTGTACTTGGTGCACAGAAAGTCGATAAAATAAAGCATTTCACAGCAAGCACCTTACGTTTTACGAAGGGACATAACGCTTCCGGTCAAGTGGGCTCTGCCAGGTTTTGGGTCTGAATCGGTCAAATTTGATAAAATAATACGACCAATGCCTATTTTGTGAAGTGGCTTTTGAAATATAACATTTTTCATCTTTCATTTTGTTTCATTTGCATTCTTTATGGACGGAATACTCACCTTTCAAAAATGAGATAATATTTGCGCCTGGATTTTAAGATAACTTCATTGTCTTAAGGCGGTTTGATTAATCATCACTTAAACCCCTTAATATTTGTTTTTTGTTTAAACCTATTTCATGTCTGTCGGGAATGAACAGACAGTTTATCGTCAACGAGAGTTCACCTAAAACACGAGCTAAGTGTAGACGAGTATTGTTTCAGTTTCAATCATGTCGGCAATTTGCGTCATCTGTCCCGTGTTGGAAACCGTTGACTCACTATCCGATTTAAAAAAAATATTTTTTGAATTTTGAAATATGAAAATCTACTTTACGTGGAATTGACACTAACGTATAACAAGTAGTCCGGTTCATTATTGCGTTCATTGAAACATAATTAATATCAGCAGTGTAGTAACAATAACTTAAAAGACGCCATGTACCCGTTATCGATAGATTATGTGTTTGTGTATATTTTCGTGGTAAAACAGTAGTTTCAGAGGGAGTATGGTTTTACGCCGCTTTTAGCAATATTCCAGCAACATCACGGCGGTGGACACTAGACATGGGCTTCACACATTGTACCCATGTACCTTAACCACTCGGCTACCCCACCGCCCCAGAAGTTTCAGAAACACTTACCACTGTCGACCGTGCTCTGGAAGCATATGTAGTGATGCAGCTCGTCACAGGAGGATGTCTTTATTCTGGCAGCGCCTGGCGTTTTGGGGTACAGGACGTTGCAGTTGCCTGCTGTTGTGTTGTGTAAAAGGAGCATTTGAGTATAGTTAAAGTACTTTCAGTTTTTAACACTTGAATGTGACGGATTTTATTCACTCGATAGCATTAGTTACTGATATAGGCATATTTATCATAGGACTTGTGAAGATCCGGGGTAGAATTGGTCTTCAGCAACCCATGCTTGTCGTAAGAGGCGACTAACGTGATCGGGTGGTCAGGCTCGCTGACTTGGTGGATGCATGTCGTCGTATCCCAGTTGCGTGGATGGATCGGTGCTCATGATATCAGTCACTGTATTATCTGGTCGATTATTAACAAACCGCCATCACATGGCAGGAATATTGCTGATCGCGGTGTTAAACAACGAACAAATATAATATTTATCAAAGTGTTGCCAGTATTTAACTCAAAAGTACTCACTTTATCCCTCTTTAGTATCTAATCCCAGGCGACACGTGTATTTCCACACAGAAATAACAACAAACAAACAAACAAACAAAACAAACACATACACAAAAACACACACACACACACACACACACACACACACACACACACACACACACACACACACACACACACACACGCACGCACGCACGCACGCACACACACACACACACACACACACACACACACACACACACACACTACACATTCTCACACACACACACACTACACATTCTCACACATACAGTTCCCTCTTTACCTTGGATTTCGGTGTCATTGTAGCCAAGCCATACTGCCTTGCCGAACCTATTCGTTACTTCCAAGAAGGCTGTTTGAAGTGATGACCTACTGAGGTTTGTAAGGTGTACCATACTGCCGTTCCTGGTCAGACAATCTCGCTCTGCCACTGACATATTCGCCTTGGTCGAAGACAGATCGAAGCTGGACGGTGGGATTTCTAAAGATATGTAAAACGCAATTATAAGAAAGGGGTTTAATGTCACTTCCATATGATCACAACTTAATGACTTAATGATATTGATGAGTAATTATGGCCACCTTGGTTAAAGTGAATCACTGCATATATCTTTTCCTAGCCTCTTATTTTTTCCTGGTTGGACGGAATAAGTTTAACTTTTGGCGATCACTATTTGGTGGAGACTCATAGACACACGCTTGGGAAGTAGTAACCTTCTGTCAATGGATTCTGCTTTGTTGTGGAAAGGGTTTTGCCATCTTTTTTTAAACATATACTGATCCTACATGGCAAGCGTTCAATAAATATTTAATCTGTCTACAAAGCAAACTCCCGATTCCTGGATTATTAAGGTGTAGTCATTCAAACCTAATTATGGAAATATGAAATAACATTAGTTTAAATGCATGTCACGACTTGTTTCGTGTTTTTCAGGAAATTGTACGATAATGTTATTTTCGATCCAGGACAAGGATTATGAACACGTGACAAGTTTACAAACTGGAGGAACAACTTCACGTGTCTACCACGTTGAGGGACTCAAACGATTAACATCTTCTGGCATAGTCCTTCACAGAATGACTGCCCTAGATCTACGTATTTAACACAGTGAAACCCCGTTCATACAAACTGTAACGTCCTCGGGGAAACCGTCCAGTTTAAAACATTCCCGAGTTAACGAAACACTGGCATGTAGTCGTGACGGACCCTTCCGTTTTCCCTGTCACTGATATCGATACAAGGTCCAATGTCAGGAGAAACTCACAGCCTCCCGTGAAGTATGACACTATTTTGTATATACAAGGCTAATGATGCTATCCGTCGTGGTTTATGAGAAAAGTTAGAGACATAATGTAACCTCGATAATGTGGACGATATCGTATACAGATCGTCTGGATTAACCATGTTTAAGATTAACGAATACTGGAACCTAGTCATGTGACATTAGTTTTGGTACTGGTCCTCCTCAAAAGCCGTCGGCCAGAAAGCAGGATTACCCGACTAACGGGATTCCATGTACATTCAAAGTGAGTGAGTGAGTTGGGTTTAACGCCGCTTTTAACATTATTCCTGTTATATCACAGCGTGTCAGCTTGATGTGGGAGGAAAGCCGAAGTGATGCAGGTCTCAGACGTTTACCACTTTGGTGAAACCCACGAGCACGGGTATGGTCCTGGCAAACCTACAAACATAATCGGGGTGAACCGGGATTCGAACCCACAATCATAGGTTTCTGGCGTGTCCAGGGGACGCAACTCTGCACAGCGAATCGCTGCGCCTAAAACGACTGGGCCACCCGTGCCGCCTGTACATTCAGAACACACAGAACACATTGCTTCAGAATGTGTCAATGACACTGAATGACCCACGGGGCAATACCTGTCTGGGAGTCAAACTACCTTTAAAGCTTCCATCTAGAACAAATCCAGAGCATTCATACACATTCTGATATCATCTTTTTATCATCCAAAACTGGCTCCCAGAGGAGATATCGCTTGGGTGAGATCAAGCGATATCTACATTGTAGAATTGCCACACAATGTTTTGTAGACCATTTAATTTTGTGACGTCAATGACGTCACAATAACATGAAATCACTAATGACTCTGCTACTGAAGCTGTTAGCAGTGGCTTTTACACTTAAGACACTGATTTTTCTGTCCACAAACTGAAAAAAATGGAAGAATGATGTTGGATGATAAATAAAATCTCATCTCGTGTCTTTTGATAAATTATCAAATATACCAACATTCGTTGATAAAATCCTAGGAGTTTTTTTCCATTTTTATCAACTCGTGTTGATATATTTCAAATCAAAAGACACGAGGGTGAGATTCTCTATATACATGTCGGTTTGACGCTTGAGTCAGTTTGTAACGTGACTTCTCCCTTCAACATTTCAACCGCCATCATTTTCAAACTAATTTGCAAGGGGAAAACGTATCTCTTTACTGGTATGATGTATTCTACATATACAGTAAACTACGGTTATAACGAACTCAAAGGGACCACTAATTTTAGTTCGTTATAACCGAAGTTCGGTATGAACTACATACAACATATGTATACAGCAAACGGATGGGACCCCTCTAAAACGGTTTGTTTTATCCGTCAGTTCGTTATAAGTGTGTTCGTTACGAACGTAGTTTACTGTACTACTCAAAAGTGGCACCCGATTCTTTCATATTACGGGGCCGTCGGGTAGCCTAGTGGTTAAAGCGTTCGCTCGTCACGCCGAAGACCCGGGTTCGATTCCCGACATGGGTACAATGTGTGAAGCCCATTTCTGGTGTCCCCCGCCGTGATATTGCTGGAATATTGCTAAAAGCGACGTAAAACCATACTCACTCACTTTCATATTACTATAGTTAATCTATCATGGCATGGTAGATTAGCTATAACAATATGAAAGAATCGGGTGCCACTTAACTGCAAGGCATGAAAGATTAACTACAGGACAGACAGACAGACAGACAGACAGACATTCTTCATTTCCACCAATAATGGAGGAGAACATATGAAAGTAAATTAGGTCAACTCATAAATGACCTGTAATCAACCAAAGCAGATAACAAAAATTACATGCAATGCCTTTCTAGGTAGGTGCTAGTGAACAGTAACGGTTATAAGATGTTTTGTTTGATGTGTAGCCTGCAAATATGTACAGACTTTGAGACAACCAGCACAAATTGTATCCAAGTGCTAAAATCAACACGACATAAAGTGTTGTGAGAGAATAGGGTTGTCCTTAACTTCTTTTGAGTAGTATACATGTATGTATTTGATAAACGATGTGCAAATGTTGGTGTTAGTTAGATGACAGCATTGTGAGGCACTTACCTCTGTCGGTTATAGGAGAAACTCAGTTTAACATGTTTGTGAAATCACATGATCATCAAATGCTGCACTCGAAATCCTATTCCAGGCTAACGCCGGGGTTAAGTTCGGTTAACGCCGTTTTGAATAATATTTCAGTCATATCACGCAGTCTCAGAAGGAGGCAAGCGCGAAGTGATACAGATCTTAAACGATGAAACAGGGCAACGTAAGTTTTGCTGAATCACATTGTACATTGAGACAAAACATCATGCTGCAATCAACAACATCATATTACGAACACATGCATTTCTGTACTATTCGCATGATTATAACCCTTTATAATATCTGTAGTTTTCCCAATATTAACGTTTCCAAAATGCGAACTGGCCATTTGTACTTACCCGTCTTTGTCATCATCACCATGGCAACCCAGAGGATAAGAACACACACAAACAGCGCGATACTCACAGAAGTCATTGTGAGGGGCCTGTGCTATTGTGAAAAGATCTGAGTAATAATTTCGTGTTGGTTCAGGAGCACTTATGTCAGTTCGCTATTTCCGGCTCGTAATGGTATCTCCATATCGATATTTTCAGATCAGTTTCCTGAAGATTTGCAAGCTATTGCGTGAATCATAACGAGGTATATAGTAGTGACGTTATGTCAATGGCCACCTGATTAATAAATTGTGTGGGGTGCATACAAATCAAGGTGAAGCCTTTTTCCGGCACACAGGGAAGGATTTGTATCGAAAGCTGGCAGGTGAACCTTGTACTGTTGAGTCATGCGTGAGACTCTACCCATCTTCAGTTGAATGTGTGTACCTACAGCTAAAAATAATGTTGTTGTCTGTTACAGCTGACGGGGTTAGTGAAACGGGTGTAACATGCGATTTATTGCTTGTAGTTTACAATGCTTGAGCGGATGCGCGGAAAGAGTAATTGAGTGAGTGGGTTTAGCGCCACTTTAAACACTATTACAGTTTTATGACGGAGGACCGACTTCGTGGTCTGGTGGTAGAACGTCCGCCCGGAGAGCGGAAGGTCCGGGGTTCGATCCTCGGCTGCGTCATACCAAAACACGTTAAACTTGTTGTTACCCTGTCTGGCGATCGGCATTAAGGGGCTAAAACAAGGACTGTTCGGCTCGGAGTCGGTATACTGTGTCAGAGATGTGTATTCATGTTAAACTGCGGCATGGTATCTCAGTAGGCTCGGCATCAGTCAGGACTAGAACACACACACACACACACACACACACACACACACACACACACACACACACACACACACACACACGTGCATGCATTTCGCTGAAAAATTGCGACGTTAAACCGTTTTCACCTCGACTCACCTATATCGCGGCGTGTCAGCTTAATGTGGGAGGAAAGCCCCAAGTGATACAGGTCTGGAATGTTTACCACCTTGGTGAAACCCACGAGCACGGGTATGGTGCTGACAAACCTAGAAACATAATCTTGGCGAACCGGAATTCGAACCCACGATCACATGTTTCTGGTGTGTCCAAGGGACGCAACTCTGTACTCTGTATCACTGGATTGTCATGTCCAGACTCGATTATTTACAGGCCGCCGTCATACAGCTGTTACATAGCTGAGTGTGGCGTTAAACAACAAACAAACAAATATACAGTCAAACATAGTCTATTTTGTTTTCAATACATGATTGCCGTTTGCGATCATTTAGCGTAACAGGGTTATTGCCCTTTCATTTGCTTATCGTTCGATCACGCGAAGCAGTGTTTCTGTATGTTATAGCCCACGCCTGTGGGAGACGGACCGAACTGATGTTATTATTTGCTTGATGAAAGCTGTCTCTAACATGGACATGGTGTGTGGCAGCTTATATTTACACGACCAATATGAATTTACAGGACAGCCAACTATTCAGCATATCTTTACCGCATGGCATGATAGAAACATTTGGAAAGCGAGTAGGGTTAACGCTACTTTTAACACTATTCAAGTTATATCACGGCATGTTAGCTTAACGTGGGACCAAAGCCCGCGGTGATGCAGGTCTCAGACGGTTACCAGTATGATGAAACCCGCAAGGGTATGGTGCAGACACACCTGGAAACATAATCGGGGTAAACCTGGATTCGAACCCACACTCATAGGTTCCTGGCGTGTAAGGGCATGCTACTCTGCACAGCGAATTGCGGCGCCTTAGACGACTAAGCAACCCATGCTTGACTCCCGATAGAAACAGGAGGAAAATGAAAGTACAACTAGTACAAGTCGTCTGATGATCCTTTATATTTCAAAGGGAGCAGGTTGTTTTTAGGGATGTATTTTATCTGACACGTTTTGAGAGTTTGCTGAAATATTTGCAAACAAACGCATGACCTTTTTCCTGATTATGACCATTATTTTTACGGACGTAATAAATGTTGGTTTCCAAAGCTTTTATTGTAGCCAAACGAACATATTTGAGGCTGTCTGTAGTTCTTTGATCCATCTCGTCCAATATTTCCTGCTTTAAATCTTGACACTCACGACATGAATGCCGAAATATTTCTGTTTCCGCTACATAGCAATGCCACATTTGTACTAAAATAGGTGACAGGTTATCGTACCTATAATTTTAAACCAGGAAATATTTTCTTGTAATTGGAGTTTTAGAATTCACGAATAAAAACAAAGCAGGTCCGATTCTATGGCGCCTCTTTAATTCTATAATTAGGAAAAAAACATGAATACGAGCATTGAGGCATGTGTACATGGATGTGGCAGGCAGTCTTGCTTTCACTTTCTGTTTCCGCAGCAAATACAGCTCGTATAATGTGGATACGGAAATATTGCTGACGTGCACGGCTAAACGTGTCTTGGCAAACCAGATGCCTCTATAATAAATACTTATAATTCCAGGACTACAAGCACCCTGAGACAGGAACACTGTTTTTTTAAAGTCTTATGCGGTATGTGTTTCCGTATACCTTGAAGTTATTTTTGATGAAAATAAACCTTACACAAAAACATAGGGCTCACATTGAACCATGCACTTTTACTATTCGGAGAGGGGGCGGTGGGGTAGCCTTGTGGTTAAAGCGTTCGCTCGTCACGCCCGGGTTCAAATCCACACGGGTGCAATGTGTGAAGCCCATTTCTAGTGTCCCCCGCCGTGATATTGCTGGAATGTTGCTAAAAGCGGCGTAAAACCATACTCACTCACTCACTCACTACTATTCTGCTAGAGAAGCGTGACCAGTTGAACACTTGACAACGTTTGAGCCATTTTTAACGAAAGCTAAAATCAAATCACAACAATCTGCACCTCCAGTATAATCAGACATTTGACAAGTGCGGGTCAAGATCAGACTTGTTGTGTTACCTGCTTGCCTTCAGAGGGTATTCCCTGTCTCAAGGTATCCAAATAATACACGTACCGCTACGTGGCCAAACATCGCCTTCGTGGTCAAGAGGATAGAGCGTCTGCCCGGAGAGTGGACGGTCGGTGGATCTATTCCCGACCGTGTCATTCAAAAAGATGGAACTACAGTAATCTACGGTTATAACGAACTCAAAGGGGCCACTAATTTTAGTTCGTTATAACCGGAGTTCGTTATAAGCATATGTACAGCATATATACAGAAAATGGCCGGGCAAAAATAAGTTCGTCATATCCATCAGTTCGTTATAGGGGTGTTCGTTATAAACGCAGTATACTGTAATTGTACTGCCTTGTGCTCGGCAATAAGGGGATAAAACAAGGACTGGTCGTCTAGGAGTCAGTATACTGCGTCTGAGGGGATATCCATGTTAACAATGCGTTGAGCAGCACACACACACACATATATACAAATATACTTATATGTAAGTGTAATAATTTTGAACGCATACTAAAACACATTTCACCCACAGCAGACCACTGCGTCAAACCGACATACACATGAAGGCATTGAACCAAAACCAGCCTGAGCCATCCTTCATGACCAATATGATTGAAGGATTAATTGAGCAGTAAAAAGTGAAAGATTAAAAGTTTGGCCGTGTATAAACAGGAATTATTTACACGGCAACTGCATCCGTTGTTTCTTCTTCCTCAACAACGGAGTGTTCTGGAGAGACGTCAGGCGCGTGTTCGCACACACAGCCCCCAGGGATCAGCAGGGAGTGAGGGGCAGACGAGGGGTAGGAGGAGTGCATGCTGCTAGCTGCGTGGACGCCGGTTGTAGCACCCATGCTGCTGCTACGGCGATAGTTCCTAATGTTGGCGAGAGGTGGCGCCACGCTGCTTCTTGACTCATACTGAGTAGACATGCTGAAGTTCCATCTTGACAGTGATGTTTCCTCTGTTCTCGGCTCCTTGTAGGCCACCCGTCTCAGGGCAGTGCTGGTCAGATGCGTGATTCTTTTACAGAAACAATGCGACATGAAGCATTTTTCATTTACCGTGTTTCTCATTGACATGAAAAATCCATTTATAGTCACGAAAGAAGACATACAGTCGACCAATACTGCATGGCGAATTAACGATCTTACTGCATTTCTTAAAGGTAATACATGTGTCCCCAACATTTAACTCTCCCGTGTTTTGTTGTGAGCATTTTTTCAAATCTTTCTGGTGTCCCCCGCCATGATGTTACTGAAATATTGCTAAAAGCGTCGTAAAACCATACTTACTCACTCATTCAAAACTTCCACGAACAGAAAGACTAGTAGCCCAACTGATAATGAATCATTTGTGGATAAAAACGTTTGTGACGACCGCACATTTATGAATGTGTGCAAATAAATCTAACGACTTATTTTATTGACTGTTATAGAGAGTGCATGCAAACACCAACCGCACCTTCTGACAGTACAGATTGCGACGACACATATCACTCCTGACAGAACTCCGCATATTCCAACTCCAAGAATGACAAGACCTTCATGTGGGAAATAAAATATAACAGGTAAAACATGTACTTTAATTTGTTCTACCTGTGCTTCATTGTTGACCTCATGTCCTTGTCTGGTAGAAAATACGTTCTTTAACTAATAGTATAGTTCCAACTGTTCAATGACTAGTATCACGTTTCGTACTACTCTTTCAAATCAAAAATAAAACCACCTGTGTATACCAAATTTGTTACAAATAATCATAATTAACGTTGTTCTACCAACTCTATTTAATAATGTGTACATCACTTGTTATAAGTCACTGAAGATGGAGGCATTTTAGCTTCCGACACGTTAATCTATTACATATACAGCAAATAGTCTTTACAGGTCTGTTTTTCTTCAGTTCAATTGTCATTATGTCAGGCTAATGTGCAGTTAGACTTTGTAACCTATGCTTGTCAGTAGTTGTGTACAGGGATCTGGTTGCCGGAAGTGACGTCATAGTCACGTGACCTGTGCATCCAAGATGGCGGCACTTCCGGTTCCGGGGAGGGCGGGTGCGCCTCCAAGATGGTGGCACTTCCGGTTCCGGAAGACATGCGTCTCCAAGATGGCGGCACTTTCGGTTCCGGGAGGCGTAGGCCTCCAAGATGGCGACACTTCCGGTTCCGGGAGAGAGTGCGCATTCAAGATGGCGGCTCGGCGCATCCAAGATGGCGGCGGTGGGAAGGCGGGAAGGCGGGAAGGTGGGGAAGGCGGGAAGGAGGAAGGCGGGGAAGGCGGGAAGGAGGAAGGCGGGAAGGAGGAAGGAGGGAGGAGGAGGGTTCTTTGTTTTGGTTTGGTGGTGGAGGTGGAGGTAGTCAAAGCAAGGATGAAAGCGTTCTTTCGGGAGAGCTAGGTGGCCCTGAAAAGGACCGTTTGGAGGAAGATGATGAAAGACGGGAACGGGAACCGGAAAACGGGAAACAGGAACCGCAAACGTCATCCTAGCTTCTTTTGCTGTTGGCTGCATGGTGGCCAACGACCAAAGTAGCTACAGTTGTCACATGGCGTCTTGTGGTGTTCTGGCTTTGGCTTGAACTCGTTGTCAGCACGAGTCAATAATTCTATCCACTCTGATGGTGCACTAGTCATCCATTCGACCCACTCCTCCGATGGTGACATCCCACCCGCCTTCCCCGCCTTCCCCGCCTTCCCGCCTTCCCGCCGCCGCCATCTTGGATGCGCCGAGCCACCATCTTGGAGGCGCACGCCCTCCGGGAACCGGAAGTATCGCCATCTTGGAGGCGTACGCCTCCCGGAACCGGAAGTGTCGCCATCTTGGATACACAGGTCACGTGACTGGCGTCACTTCCAGCAACCAGATCCCTGTACACAACTACTCTTGTCGTAGGAGGAGAGTTAATGGATCGGGTCCCACGTTTGTTTGTTTGTTGTTTAACGCCGCACTCAGCAATATTCCAGTTACATGACGTCGGTCTGTAAATGATCGAGTCTTGACCAGACAATCCAGTGATTGACATCATGAGCATCGATCCACGCAATTGGGATACGATGACATGCATCAACCAAGTCAGCTAGCCTGATCACCCGATCTCGTTAGTCGCCTCTTACGACAAGCATAGGCGGCTTTTACGGCAAGCATGCGTTGCTGAAGACCTACCCCGGACCTTCACGGATCGGGTCCTACGTCAATGGGGTGGATCGTTGCTCATAATATCAATACCTTGATTAGCTGGTCCAGGCTAGATTATGTAATGGCGGCCAACGCATAGCTGGCATATTGCCGGGTGCGGAGTAAACAACAAACAAACAAACATTATCCCAAAAAACTCTACGCTAAAGACTTATGTAAACCCATAACTCGTATGACTAGCTATATCTAATTTCTCACCTGTTGTCTGTGGGTCAGAGGGTCTTGGTTTTGTTGAGAGTGTAGTAACTATAACAATAAAACAAGTAAATAATTAAATTAGGCGTATAATTGTCTGGTAAAAGGAATATATACAGTGTATATCATGAGAATTAGTAAAAAATGCTACTTGTGTGAATATATCAATTACCACACAACTATACGCTTATGGGCAATGAAAATAAAATGAAAAAAATTTAAAAAGTTACCTCCATCGCTTTTCTGCGTTGAATTGGTTGGCGAAGTCGTGTTTTCTGTGTAATCCCCGAGGACTGACGAACACAAAGACGTGTTTCCTGGAAATAAGAAATGAAGCGAACTGACAAATAATTGACTTTTCATGCTGTATTTGTTATTAGCACCCAGTGACATGGATGGTATCTCATCAGTATTTGTTGGTGAAGGTACAACGTTATACTTATCTAAGACAATAACCCGTACACATTTTTCTGTGGCACTTTGTTTTCATTTACAACGCGTAAAGCTTTTGCGCAACTGCCTTGTGAATCGACCTACCTTTTCTGTTCAGGAACACATCCACGGCCATCACCGTGTCACCCTTCACCATGCACGTAAAATGTCCATAGTCGTTATCGGTTACGTTCCTAATCTTTAACTGCCAGGATCCGTTGTCATAAGAGCTCTTGTATCTATTTCTGAGGCTTGTCTTGCCAACAGATACATATCGTCCCCTCTTATCCATCCATATCGCCTGCAACACATATCGTTACGTCACACACGTTCCAGATAGTGATTGTAGGAATAACACGAGTGAGTGAGTATGGTTTTACGTTTACGCCGCTTTTAGCAATATTTCCAGCAATATCACGGCGGGCTCACCAGAAATGGGCTTCACACATTGCACCCATGTGGAATCGAACCCGGGATTTCGGCGTGACGAGCGAACGCTTGAACCACAAGGCTACCCTAGCGCCGTTGGAATGACACGTCTAGTCACGTCTAAGTATTTGTCCATAGGTAATTAATTACCTTGGATGGCTTGCGAGCCTTGACGACACAATGTAGTTTGGCTGTTCCACCACAGGCAACTCGAACAGAAGTGCTACCTGATATGCTTTCACTGACTGAAGCTTCACCTGTAACGAGCATAGTATATGTGAACTGTGAAGAGGTCAACCTATTCATGATATATATGTAATACACAGACGGGTTTTCTAAGGATAACAACACACATATGTAAACCTCAGGGTGTTGTCTGACACTCTTTTTGGAGTATGGCTTTGTTTCATCACGGTAACGGCACATGTGCCCCGTATGCCACCGTGACAGAATAGTTCCCAGCCCCACATTGTTGGTCGAAAGAGACTAGTAATGATCCTTAGCCTCTCACCACGATAACCTGCTTGTGGTTTTCTCCAACCTAGCAAACCAATACCACTTGATTTAACGATTCGTTCTAACGAATAGATGGATAGTTGATTGTAGTATAACGCCACACTCAGCAATATTCAAGCCACGTGACGTCGGTCTGTAAATGATCGCGTCTGGATAAGACAGTCCAGTCTTTGACATCATGACCATCGATCCACGCAATTGGGATGCGATGACATCTTAGACAAAAAAAAATCAACAAGAAATTGTAGTCACCTCTTTGCGTTAATTCAAACCGCTGTACGATCTTTCTACCGGCGCTCTTGTATATGCAGGCATAGACCCCTGCATCCGAACGACGCGGAGATTTGATTGTCAGTTGAAAGTCAGTCTGGTTCCCTTGTAAAGCATATTTCTCAGGATTCACAAATATCCTCTTGCCGATAGATATTGGGACAGGGTTGTACCATCTTTTCCACACTATCTTCATTGTTAAGAAAGATATAAAGTTAACATTAATGTTTCCAAATCAAAATCAATCAAAAGGCAAACAAGATATGCATAAGAGTACATAAACCCAAGTGCAAAAGGTTAGATTCAGGTGTGCATAAACTTCATCAATAGACATCGTCTCTGGTCTGTCGCTCATGTGCAGTTGCTACAATGACGTATGGAAACATGGTGTTCAAACGTATATATATATATATATATATAATATATATATATATATATATATAATTTGCTTAACTTTCGAAATACAATTTTCATCATAAACTTTTCATATCACCAAAGTGTGCTCAAGTTTCTCTTCTCATACATAATTTCTTTTCATGAAGATTGTGTGAATGGCCGTTGTCAACGGTAGGGCAGGAATACCTACCCTTTTCGCGAACACCTGGTGTCATCACTGATTTTCAGTGGTCCATTCTTATCACTTTCACAGCTATATTTTCCCTTTCCGGCAAAATGGAATGTTTTCGTGAATAAACAAGACTGGTTATTGTCTTGAAATGACGTTAAGTATAATTACTACTATTTACACGATACCCGTTGACGAGAGACTGAACACATGACCTCGAAGATGACCTCGGAGATGAACTCGGTAAGCGCATGAACAACAACTTGAACAACACATTATGCCGTTCTTAGGTTTTGACAAGACTTTCTTCTACAATCACACTCCCGAGAAACCCATGGGAACTCCCTTGCATGAATACATTCACAACTGCTTCTTATGTACAATAACATACAGGGTCCGTACACTGCGGCCTTTGGAGTCTCCAGTTATTCATTACTAAAACGTCCAATTTGTATTCTACATTAAATGACCTTTATTTCAGCGGCTATTCAACATATCTTTAATTTTAATTTTAAATGACCCCTTAAGCAATTATATCTAACTTTTAAACACCACATGTTCAATGCAACACATTGAATAGCTTCCTTTTATTGTTAACCGTGTCGTCAATTTTAAATGCTGTGGTCATGACGGACCTGCACAGTGACATACTGTGTCAGGAAGATGTTGACAAAAAATGCTAATTTAACAATGATATTATTTAAATATTTTTTGCAACGTAACTAAAAACATATTCAGGATGTTACTATAGATGAGTTTGATCATACATGCGCTCTGTCATCTGTTTTTTAATAAAGTTTTTCGCGCAATACAACTGGTCGTTATCTGTCACATGTACTCCTCGCAGGACGTTCATAAATCTCAATCATATAAATGTTAACTGCAAGTTCCGTCAGTACGTAATAACAAATATCGACACAGATGACTGTTAATAGTTAAACAGGTCACAGTTTGAAAATTAGTAAAATGTGCTACTTGTATGAAGAAAATTGTTGGTAAAATATCTTCGGCTAGCAATACATACCTTCTTGCACCAGGTGACGTTGCAGGTCAAGGTGACGTCTTCTCCTTTGTCGTATGTGATTTGAGTTGTTGATTCTGCAACGTGTTTATTGTGACATATTATTTACCATCCCAAACTGGTTTTCACAATAGGGTTTCCACAGTAGATATCGGTTAGTTAGAACAAACCACAAACATTTTTGTCAAAACATTATTACCTCTCTTTTCTTTTATGTAACGTCATGTTAAACTTCCCGTTTAATATGAGGCTTGCATTTTATCATTTCTATACATGTGGTACAATTTCAGGGCATTTCGCTGGGTTTCGTGTGATGTATGGTTTCATATTTTATAAGCTGGCCTCAATCAAAACAGTGCGTGTTCATCTTCTCATAATACTGGGAAACGAAAACTGCAAAAAAACTTATTAGAAAACCCACAATTCCAACATCTCACGTAACATAAACGTCCATATGTCTACGTAGCAATAATCAAAGACTTACCTATAGCTAGTTCCTGATACGTGGATTGGATGGTTGATAAACAGATAACTACAAGAAGATAGCCGCCCGACATGACAAGTTACCGTCGAAAACTAAAAGGAAAGCGAAACGCTCGCTTCATCTTCTTCCGTCTTGTTTTATGCAAAGCTCTACTGTCGGGTACAACTTGCCCTGAATAATAACAGTGTATTATACCACGATGGAAATATCTCGAATAATATCACAGCGTGTCAGCTTAATGTGGGAGGAAAGCCCGAAGTAATGCAGGCCTCAGACGTTTACCACTTCGGTGAAACCCACGAGCACGGGTATTGTGCTGACAAAACTAGAAACATAATCGGGGCGAGCCGGGACTCGAACCCACAATCATAGGTTTCTGGCGTGCCCAAGGGACGCAACACTGCACAGCGAGTCGCGGCGCCTCAGACGACTGGGCCACCCGTGCCCCCTTAATGTTTTGAAAAATCTTTTAATTATCACAGTGTCACCACCTCCTCCATTATTTTGCTTGTTTTGGTGTTTAACGCCGCACTCAGCAATATTCTAGTTATATGACGCCGGTCTGTAAATAATCGAGCAGGGATCGACAACCCAGTGATTGATATCATGAGTATCGATACTCAGTTTGGAATACGATGACATGTCTCAACCATGTCAGCGAGTCTGACCACCTGTACCAGCTAGTTGTCTCTTGCGACAAGCACGGGTTGGTGAAGATCTAACCTGGAACTAAAAAAAATATGCTTGGGGATGCATTGGCGTCAGTTGAGTACAGCCATGTACGCGGAAACCTCCTACTCATTCATACCCCAAACTGTCCTCCTTCAATTGTTTGGCATGGTATTTATGAAGCTATTTTGTGATAAATAGTCTAGCTTGTGGTTCTTGTTTTATAGATATATGATATGCGTTTATCTGTGGATACTTCCTTGTGTTGAACAGACACACATGAACGAGCCGGACCATATCCGACAGGATACATGGATGTCAGACGGTCAACTAGCGAGCAACGCAACACTCGAATGTGTGATTATCCTGTCTTGATCAAGTACCTAAAAGTATCTAAATGTAACATCCAATACGATCACGTTAGTGCTACTCTGTAGCAATAGACACATGCATGTATTTATAGCGGGAGTCAGATTTGATTTAACTTAGTCGTACACTTTTCATAGAAATCAAGATTAAGAAATCTCACAGGTTTAACGGGAAACAAGAGACTTGTCTATGCCCTTGGTGTTTTCAAAAACATTTATAACTGGATCTCTCACATTATGACATATATACATGTAGTTATCGCTTTTAGTTAAGGGTTTTATGTTTTTGTATTTTGAGTAATTAGTCAGCTTAGAATAGGTCTTCAGCAACTAATCCATTCCGTGACAGGCGGGTGATCAGGCTCGCTGACTTGGTTCATGCATGTGATATATCCCAATTGTGTGGACCGATGCTCATGATATCAATCCCTTGATCGTCGTCATATAGCTGGTTATGGGGAATATGATATTGCTGAGTACAAAAAAAGCCAAACAAACAAACAAAACATTATGACACATATTGTTCTCGTCCTTAATTAAGTTCCGCCATTAGATATTATGCGTACGCGTATAGTCTATGAAGTAATAAGTCATCTTCCTAAGAGTGAAGATCATATGACAATGTCTGTCTGGCAGACAATGACTGTTCATACGCATTAGCTGTATCCGTTACCCTCCCGTTGAGAAATGTGAGGATCTTTGTTATTGAGGCATACAGGCCGCAGAGTGAAAAGTGAGTCAGCCCTGGTCATGTGATTGGCAGGATACGCAGAGTAAGTAGACTAAGTACATTGTGTTTACATACTTATGTCGATGTTTGAACTGTGGCTGTGACAGAACGAACGTGACAGCTCGGTGGATCTGTACCATGTACCATGATGCTGATGGTGTATCTGCACTTGTCCCTGGTGTGTGCGACAGTTCTCCCACAATCTGCTGAGTCAGGGAAAGGTAAGTTACCACGTGTTGCTAAGACTTGGTGAGCATGTGGAAGCGCTTTATATTATGATAATTGATGCATTATTTACTTTTTCCTCCAGTGTAACTAGAGATACCCATTCTTCACATGTCAACATAAAACCGTGTAAATGATTCAATTAATAATAAAACATAAGTTTGTTATAAAACACAGTATTAATGGGTAAAATGTGTTCGAGTACTGCTGTTCTTAACCCGAACTGTGGAGCAGGTTACAGGGGTGATCCAGATGCCTGACATCCTTCTTATCTGTATATATGTGTGGCATCCCTCAGTTATGTCATCAGCAGCTGATCGTGGGTTCGAAACCCACATTCTCCCTTTTTAGGATCCGTTATGAGGCGAAATGTAAATTACCTGGCATTTTTACTCAAGCCTAATTTAATCACCCCTTATACCAATAGGTAAAAAAATCCATTGTCTTTTCCTTCGCCATTTTGGAGGCCGTCTTGAATTTCAAATTGGCCGCCATTTTGCATTTGGTTTATATTATATCGACAAGGTATGTGTTCGTACATATGGGTTCAACAAATGAGGTGGTTCCCCTTCATTGAGCTAACACTCAGTGAGATAATTAAACCTTATTTCAAAGGACGCCAAGTGCAATGATCTTGAAGTACAAACTCATGTCACCTCACCTTACGTGACCCCCACATTCAGGTGTCTCTCCCATGTAAATTATACAAATCAACTTATATAATATAAGTTTATCTAACACGGATTGATCGAGTAAGGTCACTACAAGGTCAACAGATTTCTTGTGGTTGTTGTGGTTTAATCAGTGAGTGCTTAACGTGTTATGACATGGATTATGTGATAACGAGGAGGGAGGGGTGGCTGAGAATCTTTTTTTTTCAAATACGTGTGTTTGTTTAATCCTCTGGGTGTATTGTGATAACTTTGCATATGTCAATGTCAGTCAACAGTGTCAGCACACCGCTATTATTTGCCAATGGTCAGCTATTAAGGGCAATTAGAGTAGTTTGACTCCCGGGCGATGACAGGATGTGTCAGCTTAATGTGGTAGGAATCTCCCAACATCCTTACCTGTTAACCACTTTGGTACACAGGTGGCATTGGTATGGCGCTGACCAACCAAATGTACCGGAGAGCCTGGGAATTGAACCTACGATCAGCGGATTCTGTACCGACTAAGAAAAGCAACTCGGCACAACGTATTAGACCAGTAGGACATTCAGATTCGATCAAATGTCAACGATTTCTCAATTTGTCATTTATGACTCAGGTGAACCTTCAGACGACTTGGGAACCGCCATACGCGTACTGTACCAGACAAACAGAAGAGTGAATCTCACATGCCGCTTCCCTGCAAGTGCCGATGTAACAGTAGGTTTAGGCTTTAACTGCTCTAGCAATGCTCACGATGTAATCTCTGTTCAATCATTTTTCATTTTTTACCCTAACACCACAAAGAAACAAGAAACAGAATAGATTGGATGACCAATATTGCAATATTTGTTTGTTTTAATATTATTTATTTGTGTATAATTATGACATTATGACAAAACTATAAATTAAAATAGTTTAAATTAAAATATGAATAATATAATAAGAATTTACAAACTATACACAACATACTAAGCTTGAATTTGGTGATATTTCATCAGGTAACTTGGAGAAAGACGGGGTTACAGGTACCCATTGCCGTAGGACGTTGGGTGGTTTCTCATCCCGACAAGTACCAGATCGCGGAAGACAAGACGCAAGGCATATCAAGCCTCATCATCGCTGCTGCCACTGTGACGGATGCAGGGTTCTACGCCTGTTCTTGGATGCTGAACAGGACGGTGGTGAACTCTACAACATTCGTGCTGACACGAAAAGGTGAACACGATGCCATACACTTACACTATTTTCAGCTGTTGTGCGGCGGAAATCTATATCACATGTTTCGTAAAGCATGTTTCTAAATATTAGATGTATGGTGATGATGTGTGTAACATCATAGCTACAGATTTAAATACATGTTGAACGGAAAAGTAAATAAGATGTTTTCGGCGGCAAATGTGAGAAAATGTGATGTGTCCAATAACAAGATTGATACCAGATTGCAGGAGAACTTATTGCATTATTACTCCCTTGTGGTATCAACTTATCTCGTTTTGAATGTCACCTCTTTATGATGGATAACTGTAAATAAATTAGTTTTAAATCAAACCTATCATGATTTCGGATTTGTTTGTATTGGTACAAATACGCTTTGTTGTATATCACACATGAAATAAACAATTTTACTTATGTATCTCCACTTGCAGATAAACATTTCACACTCATCGAAACTTCAGAGAAGCCAATAAAGGCTTCTATCGGAGATGATGTCGAACTTCCTTGTATCGTACAACGAAAACATAAGTATAAGGTTAGAACAGCGCACTGTTGGGCCAGGGCACTCTACATTCTGGCTGCTAATATATTGTGTAGGAATGGCATTACCGTAAAGATGAGCTGGGAAATTGTACACATCAAGTATAAAATATATCCAAATGATAGAAAGCAAATGAAAAAATCACATTGCTGAAACTAGTGTTGTCATTATTACATTTGAGCAAGTTAATTGCGACTTTCCTATTGAGCGATGTCGTGATGTCAAAATGTGGTTACGCTCTTCGTCAATGGTCAATGGGCATATGCGCACTTGTCACGTTTCCGCTTCTTAATTTAGTCTGGTCGGGCAAAGGTTACACTGATTGGGGGCTGTGCTTGGACTTATTCATCTGACACAGGAGATTGAATTGTACAAGGTTAACACAGTATGGGAAAATATCACTGGATGTCCCGCCCATATGCTGTTTGTTAAAGTGGCCGCAGAGTCTGACTGAACATAATCACCTTCCAGTTCGTCACGAGGTAGAGGGGAGGTCGGGTAGCCTTGTGGTTGAAGCGTTCGCTCGTCACGCCGAAGACCAGGGTTCGATTCCCGCCATGGGTACAATGTATGAAGCCCATTTCTGGTATCTGTCCCCCGCCGTGATATTGCTGGAATATTGCTAAAAACGGCGTAAAATCGTACTCACTCACTTACTCATGAGGATAACCCGGAGACGAATATGTACCCGGAACATAATAGATTTATATGTGGTATAAATGAATTCTATAGCTACCAGGACTACGTCCTTGAAGCCAAATTTACAAAAGCAAAAAACCAATTCAACAACGTTGCTTGTTGTGTTTGTAATGAACATGTCAGATCTCCGTACATCCAGTGGTACTATAGCGTATCTGCATCCAGCCAACGCTATTTTAACCAAGACATTAAAACTCGTTCGTCTGTCACGCCTAGGGTCGTGTTCGATTCCCAAACCGGGTACAATGATTGAAATTCATGTCTAGAACCTCATTTACTTCATTATTTATCCGTCGTATCATAAACGTCAATTTGCAATCATTTAAATTTGATAGTATCTGTGTGAGCCTTCATGGAATGACACTTTCTGTGACACTTTCTGTGACACTTTCTGTGACACTTTCTGTATTTGTGATGTACTTTGCAGGTTCTATGGCTTGATCCGAGATCCCGCGTCGTCGCGTTCGGGTCACGGAGTCTCAGGAAACGATACACGATAAGTTCCAAGGGACAAAGGAGGAACTGGACACTGAAGATAACAAATGTCAATAAAAATGATTTTGGCACGCTCACATGCCTCGTCAACACAAACCCAATACTCTCCAGTACTGTGGTATTGTCCAGAAAAGGTTTGTTGACTAAATTCCTGCTTTTCGCTTCGTGTTTGTCTGCTTCTACTAGGCTTATATGCCGCAAATACAGTGTATATAATGCTTGACCACTGAGAATCGACCGGTTCTTGTTTGATCCCCTTAATGCCGAATGTCAGACACAAAAGTACTATCATACTATCGTTCGAAAGGATGCGGCAGGGGATGGAACCGCCGACCTTGCGCTGTCCAGGCTGCCACAACATAAAGGAGGCGGATCACAGCTTGGTCTTCCTCAAAACGTTTGCCCATCCCAAAGAACGAGTATATTTTATATATAACAATAGTCAATTTCCCGAAGAAACAACAACGAGAACAGTATTTAGTTAGGAATATACACATTTAATTCATCTAGAAATGGGGATATGGATCAAAAGGTTTTCAGTGTGTGACGAATGGAAATCCAGGTTTACAATGTTTTGAGTCGGCTGATTCGGTGTAGTCGTCACCGACGATGTGTATGTTTGAGCCATCATCTATCATTACGGCACCACTCCCTCCCTCGCCCACTCACTCACTTATTCATCGTATTGTTGCAGGCGATGCTGCACCACGGCTCCATTCAGCTGTTACAGTCACCACCACACAACGACATGACAATCACCCAAACGTAACAAGTGGTAGGTTATAATCGTTCACTATAATGCTTATATTAGGCGGAAAGAACACATCAGTTTTAGAGACTGGCTTGATGAAAGCTTAGACATGTGGTGAAATATACAATAGATCCGCTCATTCTTCAAACTTACAATACATATTTTTTTTTGACAGTAACTGTCAAATGGCAAAGTGTCAGTCTTCTGATAAATATTTTACATGTGTATAAAAATATATTTTACATGTATATGGTACACAGAAAAGTATCCCAAATGCATACCCAAGATCATATTCTTTAGCAAAAATAGTATTGATGATCCATAGACATATGGACCACACGTCTCTTCAAATAATAATAGATATATGTGACTGATATTTCCCTATTATGGACCAGTTTCAGATTCATCGGCTGTCAATGTGGACTACGATGCTCCAAACATCGCGGCTGTCCATCAAGCAAAGACGGAACAGAGCTGGGGTAAGGGTAGATGTTGACGCCTTGGACGTAATGTTTGCCTGGCGTTTGGTCTTGACGCATTCGCGGGACATGCTTACCCTTTTCGATAACACCTGCTGTCGTCAGTCATTTTCAGTGGTCCGTGCATGTAATTTCCCTTGGCCTTTTTGTGCAATGATTACGACTGTTGTCTTGGCGTTCACGTTTTATATGCACACATAAATGAGTTTAGTTAATTGTATTCTAATTCTGAAACATTAAATGATGTGATTCCCATGATTGTTATGTATTCCAATTGCAGACCGGTTGATTTTGGGTACAAGCATTGGCGTTTGTGGCTTTGTGTTGTTCGTGGGACTGGCCAGTGGATGTTTCCTGGTGGACAGGTAATATTGTACTGTGTAGTGTGTAGTTAAAAACATAGTAGCTGGTGGACAGGTAATATTGTACTGTGTAGTGTGTAGTTAAAAACATAGTAGCGGTTGGACAGGTAATATTGTACTGTGTAGTGTGTAGTTAAAAACATAGTAGCGGTTGGACAGGTAATATTGTACTGTGTAGTGTGTAGTTAAAAACATAGTAGCGGTTGGACAGGTAATATTGTACTGTGTAGTGTGTAGTTAAAAACATAGTAGCGGTTGGACAGGTAATATTGTACTGTGTAGTGTGTAGTTAAAAACATAGTAGCGGTTGGACAGGTAATATTGTACTGTGTAGTGTGTAGTTAAAAACATAGTAGCGGTTGGACAGGTAATATTGTACTGTGTAGTGTGTAGTTAAAAACATAGTAGCGGTTGGACAGGTAATATTGTACTGTGTAGTGTGTAGTTAATAACATAGTAGCGGTTGGACAGGTAATATTGTACTGTGTAGTGTGTAGTTAAAAACATAGTAGCGGTTGGACAGGTAATATTGTACTGTGTAGTGTGTAGTTAAAAACATAGTAGCGGTTGGACAGGTAATATTGTACTGTGTAGTGTGTAGTTAAAAACATAGTAGCGGTTGGACAGGTAATATTGTACTGTGTAGTGTGTAGTTAAAAACATAGTAGCGGTTGGACAGGTAATATTGTACTGTGTAGTGTGTAGTTAAAAACATAGTAGCGGTTGGACAGGTAATATTGTACTGTGTAGTGTGTAGTTAAAAACATAGTAGCGGTTGGACAGGTAATATTGCACTGTGTAGTGTGTAGTTAAAAACATAGTAGCGGTTGGACAGGTAATATTGCACTGTGTAGTGTGTAGTTAAAAACATAGTAGCGGTTGGACAGGTAATATTGTACTGTGTAGTGTGTAGTTAAAAACATAGTAGCGGTTGGACAGGTAATATTGTACTGTGTAGTGTGTAGTTAAAAACATAGTAGCGGTTGGACAGGTAATATTGTACTGTGTAGTGTGTAGTTAAAAACATAGTAGCGGTTGGACAGGTAATATTGTACTGTGTAGTGTGTAGTTAAAAACATAGTAGCGGTTGGACAGGTAATATTGTACTGTGTAGTGTGTAGTTAAAAACATAGTAGCGGTTGGACAGGTAATATTGTACTGTGTAGTGTGTAGTTAAAAACATAGTAGCGGTTGGACAGGTAATATTGTACTGTGTAGTGTGTAGTTAAAAACATAGTAGCGGTTGGACAGGTAATATTGTACTGTGTAGTGTGTAGTTAAAAACATAGTAGCGGTTGGACAGGTAATATTGTACTGTGTAGTGTGTAGTTAAAAACATAGTAGCGGTTGGACAGGTAATATTGTACTGTGTAGTGTGTAGTTAAAAACATAGTAGCGGTTGGACAGGTAATATTGTACTGTGTAGTGTGTAGTTAAAAACATAGTAGCGGTTGGACAGGTAATATTGTACTGTGTAGTGTGTAGTTAAAAACATAGTAGCGGTTGGACAGGTAATATTGTACTGTGTAGTGTGTAGTTAAAAACATAGTAGCGGTTGGACAGGTAATATTGCACTGTGTAGTTAAAAACATAGTAGCGGTTGGACAGGTAATATTGCACTGTGTAGTTAAAAACATAGTAGCGGTTGGACAGGTAATATTGTACTGTGTAGTTAAAAACATAGTAGCGGTTGGACAGGTAATATTGCACTGTGTAGTGTGTAGTTAAAAACATAGTAGCGGTTGGACAGGTAATATTGCACTGTGTAGTGTGTAGTTAAAAACATAGTAGCGGTTGGACAGGTAATATTGCACTGTGTAGTGTGTAGTTAAAAACATAGTAGCGGTTGGACAGGTAATATTGTACTGTGTAGTGTGTAGTTAAAAACATAGTAGCGGTTGGACAGGTAATATTGCACTGTGTAGTGTGTAGTTAAAAACATAGTAGCGGTTGGACAGGTAATATTGTACTGTGTAGTGTGTAGTTAAAAACATAGTAGCGGTTGGACAGGTAATATTGTACTGTGTAGTGTGTAGTTAAAAACATAGTAGCGGTTGGACAGGTAATATTGTACTGTGTAGTGTGTAGTTAAAAACATAGTAGCGGTTGGACAGGTAATATTGTACTGTGTAGTGTGTAGTAAAAAACATAGTAGCGGTTGGACAGGTAATATTGTAGTTCACAGTGCGTAGATAATAACAGTTGGTTGGACAGGTAATATTGTAGTTCACAGTGCGTAGATAATAACAGTTGGTTGGACAGGTAATATTGTAGTTCACAGTGTGTAGATAATAACAGTTGGTTGGACAGGTAATGTTAGAGTGTAAAGTCAGCAGTTGTCTGTGGACAGTTGTAGTGTGTAGGTATTGACATAGTTGGTTAGACAGGTAATATTGAAGTCTGTAAGTAATGGCATAGTTGGTTTGACAGGTAATATTGTATTGTGTAGTGTGTGGATAATAACATAATTGGATAGACGGGTAATATTGTACTGTGTAGCGTGTAGTTAATAACATAGTTGGTTGGAAGGTAATATTGTAGTGTGTAGGTAATGAGATGACATAGTTGGTTGGACAGGTAATATTGCACTGAAGAGGTAATAACATAGTTGGTTGGACAGGTAATATTGTACTGTGTAGTGTGTAGTTAATAACAGAGTTGGTTGGACAGGTAATATTCTAATGTGTAGGTAATAACATAGTTGGATGGACGGTTAATATTGTACTATGTAGGTAATAAGATAGTTGGTTTGACAGGTAATATTGTACTGTGTAGTTAATAACACAGTTGGTTGGACAGGTAATATTGTACTGTGAAGTGTGTAGTCAATAACATATTTGCTAATATTATAATGTGTAGGTAATAACATAGTTGGTTGGACAGGTAATATTGTATCGTGTAGGTAATAAGATAGTTGGTTGGACAGGTAATATTTTACTGTGTAGTGTGTAGTCAATAACATATTTGCTCGGTTACAATTTGTTCGTCTGTTTGATGAAGATCATTTTAAACATGCATTTCTTGAAATTATAATAACATAGATTATTTAAAACAAATGCATGAGTGAATGAGCATGGTTTCACTGTTACACAGTGTGCCGCTTTCATCACTGGGCATGCGTGTGTTTAATTCCCAGTCCTATTTTATGACAAGCCTTGTCGCTTAACTGGAATGGCATTAACGTGTACATACATATCTCAAGCAACTTTCGATGAACCGTGTTTACAACAGTAACTGATTCATGAAAAAATGTATTTGGTATCAGGTTGTACATGTCATTATACTGTGTACATTATATAGATTACACAAAATAGCACTCTTCTTGCATGCCTTAAACGGTGTCATGTATTCCTGCAGGATACAGAAGATGACGCGGAGGATCATCCAGCAGGAGTTGACTCTAGACCATATGCGCATGCGTCGTAGGAGCAGACGACTCACATCAGAAACACATGTTATCATTGGAAGACAAAACAGTGCCTCAAAAGACAACGCAAATGACTCGTACATGTCTGGAAAGGCCCAAAACGTGGAAAACTGGAACTTTCCTAAACCCCCTAAACAACAAGGGTTTAATGGTACGTATTGTGAACCTTGGTCATCAAGCAGTGACATTATTCAGGCCATGAACGCAGCCTACACCGACCGACAGGGTCAGGGAGACGTACGACCAGAGAACAGGGCAGACGAGGACCCGGCCGAGGTGGCTGCTGGGTGCGGCAGGCAGGAACCACCAGGGGGAGATAACCCGTGTCCGAATGGACGGGACGATCACGTGATGGACATGGAGGAGAGATCGTTGATACGTGTGGACGGCGAAGGGGAGTGTAACAAGGAGGATGAGTCACGGGATATGTGACAATATATTAGTGGCATGAAAAATTCAGCAAGAAATATTTACCTTGCATACAAAACATGCTTTTAAAGATATACCACAGGATCGCGTCCTGAAATAAGCAAGACGAATGATACATGGCCTATACGACTCTCTAATATATGACACGGCACCCGTCATGCAGCTGAAAAGAATGTTTCTGTGTTGCATAACGCCGAACGTAGGGATATCCCAATTAAATGACGGCGGTCTGTAAAATATCGAGTCTGGACCAGGCAATCTAGGGATTAACAGAAAAGGCATCGATCTGCGTAATTTGGATGCGATGACATGCATCAACCATATCAGTGAGTCTGATCACCCGATCCAGTTAGTCGCCTCTTACGACAAGCATAGTCGCCTTTTACAACAAGCGTGGTTTGCTGAAGACCAGTTCTCAATCAGAGCTTCAGTTGGGGAGACAAGCATAGGATGCTGAATCCAGGAAATCTGTTAAAGGTCCATACATTGTTGACTTCTGTACTGACGGGTATCAATACCGCAATTTCACTGACGCTGTAACCGGACACACATAATGCCTTAGACGTGTACATATACAGTCTCCGGTGTCGACTATATGCCGAAACCACACCCAGGATGGAATTGCTCATAGTATTCTGTGCCACATTATTAGTCTCCGTGACCATGCCAATATGTAACATGTGCGTGTTCTGGTTTATCGTGTAAATATGTATTTTGAGATGTTGATATTTGTTTTTGTACTTATTTATTGACAATATATCAAGTAGGGTTTACCTGCCAGCGCCCACCGTGTCACTGTTTTAACCGATCTAAACAGCACTCAGAATTAAACTTGATTTTGCAAGTTCAAATTACGTTTTGAATGTGAATCGCAACAGAATAAATATATTATCAATATAATTTATTCAATCAAAACCTTAAATAGGATTTAGTGCTAAGTGGTTGGCTTTAACATGAAGGGCAAAGCCGCTTTCGATGTTTATGTGCGGTGGTTTGTTCGATGGACCCTAACACTTTGGCTATGTGAAGCATCACATTTTCTTGTGCATATTTTGTAGAATTTCGCACATATGTAGAACGTGAATCGACAGTCGTATGTACGAAAGTCCAATGTCTGGATATACCCAGTGAGTCAGGATTTTATGCACAACGTGTATCTGTGTGACTAGCTGACCGTTTCCTTTCGTCATTGCTTCCATTGTCTGAGTGTAGTGACACACACTTTCGACTTTAGATATGCACATCGATATGATCGAACATGGTACCCTATTACGTGGGTGTCACGTTTCACGTTAAGTGGCTATCAAACGTAAACAAATATAAATGTATACCCCTTCACTATACATAGTGCTGCATGTGATGTAATATGACATTTACGTTTCTACAAAGATGACGATTTTTGATGAATATGATGCAAAATATACACATTCTCACATAAAATCGATTAAAAACGAAGTTTGTGACACAGCGTACATTCTCACGGCAATTGTTGTAATAGAGTGAGTGAGTGGGGTTTTACGCCGCTTTTAGCAATATTCCAGCAATATCACGCGGGGGACACCAGAAATGGGCTTCACACATTGCACCCATGTCGGGAATCGAACCCGGGTCTTCGGCGTGACGAGCGAACGCTTTAACCACTAGGCTACCCGACCGCCCCTTGTTGTAAGAGGCATTATGTTGGTTAGTGTGTGAAGTGATATGTGTCACAGTTAAAGAGAACCCGTCGTTGCTAGCAGTTATGTTTTATCCCTTATATGTATACCTCATATCTGTGTGCAGGAACTATTTGCCTTTGTTGACGCGTTTGTGTCAAAGCTGACAGGTATCAATGTGTGTCATTTCTAAAAGATGAGAGTCCTTCAAGCATATCAGACACGTTATCATTTTACTGACTTTCACAAATGCAACAGTTTCATGTTTGCAACAATGATCTACAACCAAACAGACTTTGTATATTGTTTATTCAAGAGGTGTTTTTGTAATGTCCATTAATATATTCTATTTGAATACGAAACTCCACTCTGTTTTCGTTTTGTTGTGCGTTCCTTCTCAGAGAGAGGTAACTCTGTCTAACTCTCTCTTCGTTTTGTTGCGCGATCCTGCTCCGAGAGGGGTAACTAAATGTGTATGACTATTAGTGTGAGCAAGTCATTGTAACTAAACATTACACTGTTACAGAGGTGCAGCCATATTCGTTGTAAGTTACATTTTCTTCATGAGATGTATCCGACATGTTGTCTGTGTCCATCCGAATGTACCCTCCACCCGCCAGGCATCCAGTGCACATCCCAGGGGTCAAGGGGTAAGTCCTCAGTGCACCCCCAGATTTGACCCGACTGGTCGGGGTTGTTTCAATATCGTTATGTCTGCTGTCTGGTTGCAGGAACTTCGACAGTTCGATCCGCAGTGTGGCTTGTATGAGCCGGTGAAATCTAAAGGAAAATCACACAGGTTACTCAAAGATTTGGTGAAATTAAATGTGTAATGACAAAGGGAAATATATGCATGAGTTACAGGGAAAGGCCTTTATGTGAGCAATGAGAAATTCGTTATGCAGAATGGCGTAACTTAGGCGTGCCAGAAACATATGATCGTGGTTAGAACCCAGTTACCCTGATTATGTTTCTAGGTTTCGTAGCACTTTATCTGGTTTGATAGGTTTCACCAAAGTGGTAAACGTTTAAGTTTTGCATCACATCGACTCCTTACAACTGAGCAGCTGCTTTGTGGTATAGTAAGATATGTATTACGGAACAATATTAACAACGTTTAAAACTAATGACATGAGTTAGACACATATAGTATGTCATATAGGATACACTTTGAGGATAGTCTAGTGTGTACTTGAGGGTGAGTATTACTAGTATTACAACCATACATCTGGGAACGGAAATGAACGTTTACTGAAACTACTCTTGTGATTCGGCCATGTGAGTACAAGGAAGAGGATCGTGTCTAGGTCGGTGCGTCACAGGGCGACAAGGAAGTTAGGCAGTTTCACTGATTTCAGATGTCTGATTATTGTCATCACTGCATTGTGTTATCATACAATATAATGGCATCGTTAGTCTTGTGGACAAATGATTAACACAAAGTCATATATTTTCAAATGGTCAGACAAACACAGGCATTATATTTCACAATTGATTTATGTGTTATGTATTGCATTAATTTGATTGATCACAAACACTGCTGGTGAATAATGTGGGAAAGTAACGACCAAATTACCATGAGTTTCCTACCTTCTTAAAAGTAGAAACACGATGAGAGCCACACCAACCAGCCCCACTGCAGATGTAGACAGGCACGTGGTGTCCATCACATACTCCACTAGGATCAACACTGACAACCAATATGTAGTCAAGCCTATATAGGCTATGCTATTAAATGTATTAAATATTTCCTGTTTTGACACAAGCTTATGATGATACATAAAGCCATTTGCTTGACTTAATAGACGGATGTCTTTGAAATGTTTGTACTCAATTACCCGTCACGTTAATGTTACCGATACGAAATTGAAACAGTATTCAACACGAAATTATATATGACAAATAAACCCCTTCATAACTTAACAAAGACGACACTAGATGCTGGAGCACGTCGCTGTCTACTTTTGAACATACCCCAGGGCTCAAATTAACACCAACAACGGACGATGTGTAAAATATATAACGTCTACCCTGGGGAATAATAAAATTTGATTATCTGCCGACGCCGCTGCGTTCACAAGGCACAATAGTGAATGGAATACAAGATGTGTTAGAGAGACATGTACGTGACTTTGAATGATGCATTTTGCTTCAAAACGTGTTTGCCATATTTGTTCTCAACCCATCTGTTGTCAGTTGATGCATGTCTAATATGACCTAGTAGTGCAACAGCACACCGGTGCATGATGGGAATATATAGAATAAAAGAATTAATAAAAAAGTTTTATTCAGGAAAACTCAAATGAGCAATATGCATATATACATGGCATTCTTTGCTGCTTATCTAAAGCTGGAACATCAGAATTGATACATTAACGAATTCAGTCTCTGATCCCATCTGTTAAAGTCTCAGAAAATCAGTGAATTCAAAGGGTCTGTGGCGTTACACGAGTAGCGCCCATTGTCTCTCAAGCAAGAGTTTTGAGGACTCCTAAGAACGACAATGTCAGTGTCGTACCATGTGCTGCATTGATGGCCAACATCTGTCATCGGTGCAGAACCGTGCCCATTGTTAGGCTCTATGTCTACTGTCACATAGTGTTTGCTCAGACTGACTCCTCGGCCAGGGTGGAAGGGCTTGGCGTATCCCCCGCTTCCAGAGGATTTTCTAGCAGGTTTTGCAGAGCCGTCACGCTGTGCATGTAGGTGTGTCATATGATATGGTGAACATTGACCCGCTGCTCTGGGGTCATCTGTCATGGATTCGATGTATGGAGATGGTCGTTTTTCGCTTGGGTTTCTTAAACGACAAGGAAACATATTTGAATTACTTCGTCCTTGACGCGTTGTCAGTAAGGGCAAATGCCGTATGAAATGCATACAAAACAGCGAATAATATAATTAACATTTGCAATATTATGTAAAGATTTTATCAATGAATAACATTCTATGTTTAAAGTTAGGAGTGCAAACTTTCAATATATACAAATTAATTATGGGTAGGATGTGCAATGTAATCTCCTTCCATTATATTAAGACGTGCCAAAAGGGTAATCGTCATGGCCTCATTTCGCAAAGTGATCAGAGTGCTAAGACCATCGTCGGTCCCATACTTTAACAGTGAATTACGACAATCGTAGAGCAAAGGTCGCTTTGTGGAACGGGGTCCTGGAGCGTCAGTGTCAGTTAACTTAGACCAACTCGCATGCAATCCTGTCGAAAATGTAGATACGAGAAAACACCAGGTACTATGCGTGCAAATAGTACAACGTCACAGAAGTATTAATACTACGAAATGAGAGACAGCCTATTACTGAAAGTATACCTGCAGATGAGGCATGTGTTGATAGTAGCGAGCAGGAGTAGACACAGGAGAAGGGCGATAACTCCCGCCAGGGCTAAATACGATGCTGCAAACAAAGATCAATATGCAGTTAAGTATGATCATGTGTGAAAGATGTTATGCATAAACTACATTATTGAGAGTAGTTCGTGTTTTTTTCATAATAAACATAATCCAGAACATGTGTTTAGGCAATGTGTGATCAATCTTTTGTCTCTTGTAACACTAAAGTGTTGCACTTACTTATTCTGAGAAGTTATCGAAGGAAAAGCCGTATGTACATATGATTACAAAACCATACAGGTGCATATGTTAACAAATATTTACTTTAAATTTCAAGAAGAGTTTCCACTCTATTCTGTCACTAACCAGTGTCAAAAACTAAACGGTCTTATCCCCCTTATTCTAAAAGTGAATTATTGCTATCAAAAATACCGCTACGTTCAATACATTTAATTCGTGCTGATGATCAAGTACCCAGAAATATTATCCATAAATTGCGTCTACTTTGTATTTGGGGTCCGGTCAGTTCGCACCCAGTTCTGAGACGGAAATCATAACGACATTTCTTCGCAAAGTATTCTCTGCGCCTGCGCAGTACTCCATATAATCATACAGACAACCTGTCCTGCTGTATGTCGTGTAGCTACACCTGACCCTAAGACGGTTGTTGTGTTATACTTCTATTGTTGTATCTGTGCTAAGTTGTTACATCTTAAAATGATTTAAGCTTAAGATAAATTCAGTGCACTTTCACATTCCATATATGCACATGGTATTTGTCTCACCTGTTCGGACCAGTTCCACGTGGAGCGCGCTCTGCATGAACAAGCGCGCGAATGGCCATGTGCTGTTCATCACTGAACTCGCGATCAAGATAAACCGGTGGATACTGTCAAAACAAATATGTCAAACTGAAATTAAATAAGGGGTTGGAAATATTTCCTTGTTAGTGCACTGATCGGTGATCACGTGAATGCCGCGTGCCTTACCTCCATACTCCATTGCCTACAATGTCACGTGATGTCAGACTGTTTGCATAGCAACTTTATGTTGTTATGCATTTGATTAAATGGAAAATGTTTTGAGTACGTTTCGCATATTTTAAGTGGTTAACTAAGTGTGTGGCGCTGTATACTCACCTTCGTCTCTAGCATATTGACACTATCATGTGTTTCGACTTCCTGGTGTGTGAATGCGACATATCACGGTAACACGAGACGTGCGAGAACAGTATAAAAAATATAGCAATTCGAAAATGAGAGCCTAGATGCTGTCGATAACATCACGATGTAGAAATGGATTCAGCCATGACAAATAGTGCATTACATGAATCAGTTGTCCGTATGGATCTGCCATGTAAGAGTTGCTTCTCTTATTCGTGCCAGGATCCGCTAGTCCTGGGTTTGAATTCTCAATTCGACATGCCATCGCTTTATCCTAGTTCAACCAAAAGTCGTAAACGTCTACGATGTGCATCGCACATCCTCAAACATTACACTCCTGTAATAGGACTAAAATACTGTTGAAAGAGGCTGTAGCACTTCTCACTCACTCAACAGAGCCTCACCAAGCATCGTGATATCCGTTTTGGCATCCGGCCACAAGGAGATTATATTCAGGACGGAGGTGCTATCTCAGATGACGTAACTACCGTTACACGACACCGTTCGCCGATCGGTGATAGTGACGTAGACTAACACAACAATAACATCAACAACTATAATATTTGCTTTTAAATGTTATATGACTCCGCACAATACCCTTAGCTGCATGACGGCGACTGGTACCTGACAATACAGTGATTGATATTACGAATTTTGAAAAATGAACATTTTGTTATAATGTATTATGAATTTTGAAAAATGAACACTTTATTATAATGTATTATGAATTTTGAATAATATCGTAATCGTAATTAAATATTTATCGCAATCTATTCGTGTTTCATGGGTTGTTCCATTGTTTGAAATAGGTAACAGACTGGGGATTAGCACTGCCATGGACCGTGAACTTTGTTGTCTTAAGCTGTAGGGTAATGGGATGTAGGGGTTTGGGGAGGTTACCCTGTCAACAGCAATCCACGCCGTCGGGGTACGCTGACACGATACAAAGACTAATCAAGCAAATGTTAACATATTAATCACAAAATGACATCTGCTATTAGCCAATGATAATTTAAAAGCTTTATTGATGACTTGTACAGGGGGATACATTCTTCTTGCCTGATACTCACAAAACCATATCATTGTCATCACTGTGTCATAATGACAGTGAAGTGTCTGTAGATGTGCGTATATCCTGGAGGAATAGCTAAGGCATAGTTAATTGGATTAATTGACCATTTACTTGAAAACAAGGCATTGAAAACTAACTTTAATATGTACAGAACCTATTCAAGAACTGGTACATATCATGATATAACCTTTCTATCGCTTTCATATATATCTGAAAAAATATATACTCAACAACAAAAGTTCCTGTGACACCAATATGTATGGTATGTTAATACATTTCTGACTACTTAGATATGGTGCCTCTTGTTCAGTGGCAATTGGGCAAGGTTTAAACAGGATTCAAGTTAAACACTGTGAAATATTAATACTAATTGTACGTTGGGTCAGCTAGCCATCTATCTGTGAGGGTCACGTGTTATTTGCAGGAAGTAGGTTGTTAGTTCCAATCATGTCGAGATTGTCCGATGAGGTTAATGTTTGACATTCAGGTTATAATGCTAGCTTTCATAGAGACTATTTGTCAGTGCTTATACAATTTGACCGTGATATATATTATGCAGAAAGGTTCAAAACAATTCAATGATGTGGGTCACTGGTACACGTATTTTTCACATGACTTGACTCGATACGGGAAAACGCGGAAACTTTGTGTGGACTGTCGCAGCTTTTATTATCACTTCGTCCTTCACTTGAATACATATGTCCGAAAAATAAAAACAATCTTTGCATATTGTTGATCATTGATATTTTATGTAGTGCAGTGGCATTTTGAAAACGCACACAAGGACCATAAATGATGTATGTAATTAATAATGTTGCTAGGTATACAAAACATTAAATATGTACCCGCTTGATATACATGTACGTGCATGTTGATATTGGATATCACATTTTGATATCTTTCCTTTCCCACTTACACGTTTAACTCTTCGTATCGAGGAAATTGTGTTGATTGTAGTACATATAAATTTTCAACGCAAGAGAATAAATAAGCAGCCCAGAGATTCTGTCGAAACAGTTTCCACTTGGTATATAGGGCAAATAGCTGTGGAAATTATACGAATGGGCCACTGAAAATCAGTGATAACAAAATGTGTTCGCGGAAAGGGTATATTCTCTTTTGCTTCCTTGTGTATCAGTGTGCAGTTTGTGTTACCAGTTTCTTTGAGCTGCATATACATGTACATGCATACGAAAAAGCTGCATTATTGAGCGTGATTCTATCACCGGCTCTATCAAATATTGTGTATTATTGACAGTGCACGCTGTGAGTAACAAGTAGAAATGGAACTTAAATTGGACAAAATGCAAACAAATTATGTGCACATAAATATATAGCTACAGATATATTAATATAGATTGATGGATGGATGGGTGATTACATGATGGATAGATGATTGGGTGATGGATGGATGATGAACTCCTGGAGGAGGGAAAGTAATTCGAATAAAAAAAGAGTATTTTGACATCATAAATACTTTGCTTTGTCTATATATTAGGGGCACATCCAGGGCCTATAGACATTGCTTATGTAACTTTAGCTGTGTGTGTTTGTTGTTTGTTTGTTTGTTGCTCAAGAATATGTCAGCTTTATGACGGCGGTCTGTAAATAATCGAGTATGGACCAGACAATCCAGTGATTGACATCATGAGCGTCGATCCACTCAATTGGGATACGATGACGTGAATCAACCAAGTCAGCGAGCCTGACCACCCTCTCCGTTAGTCGGTTCTTACGACAAGCATTGTCGCCTTTTACGGCAAGCATTGGTTGCTGAAGACGTATTTTACCCCAGATCTTCACGAGTCTGTATGTGTTTGTGGATATATCGCGCTGTCAGCACTGGTTAAGTGTTCGCACACCATAGCTTCCTCAATGATTATCAGTACATTTTCAAGAGTAACAAAAACTCTTACTATTTTTTAGGGAAGGGTGTATGAATATATCAGAAACATTTATGTTGCATTTGTCTTGTGATTTGTGAACTGACATCTACAACGAAGTCACAGATAACCTATTAAAACCTATTTTGCATGTCATATATGAAAGTATATTGTAATCCTATGTACATCAGAGCATGTTCGTGGAAGAAAAACAATCAGAAATTATTTCCTACTTCCTAGCTCTATTGTGTTTTAATAGACATAAACATAATCGTTTAAATCCGTCATACTATTGAGAGGAAGTTTTATTTTCAGTCGAAAATACATGAAACAGACATACTGCTAAACTGACGATGTATGGCGAAAGTGTTACAGGTATAGCTAATACGTCGGCAGTATCGCAATCATTGCGCTACCAATAAATACAATAACCAATGATCAACTGAACAAAGAAGCACTCATCTATTGCCACCACTAACAGGGATTTTTATATCCTTCGTTACTACATATGAGTATATTTAATTGTCAGGCACATGTATTCTGTCATATATCCTGTCAACAGGCCTCCTGTCATACTGTGGCAGCGTGGTGGTGTCATAATTGTTTTCTTCCTGGGGTCCAGCTGCTGCGTTAGATGCACACAGATGGCTGTACACGGCCGTGCTGTCTGACGGGACAACTTTACCTCCATTGCCCACTGGTCGACACAGAATGTCATATTCACCGTCCTGCCTTTCACTCATGCCACTGTTTCCACCGTCAGCTTCTGTAGGACATACCAGCTGCACATCTGCCAGCTGCGGTTCTTCTACTATACCAGGATCCGGGTGCTGTCTGTGATACATAACACTCTCAGTTCTCACTGCGTACTTGATTGGTTTCTTGTTGCTGAATACAGAAACAAACCTTCTATAATATACAGAGCTGGGAAGATAGAGAGAATAGGAATGACCTGATGGGGTGAGGGTTTTGGGTGAATGAGATGATGACGTTTTTTTCGGATCGATACTCGCTATTTTTAACATAATTATAGGTCATTTGATTAGATTAAAATAAAAATCTCACCGTTTAATGATATAACAGCCTGAGATTATGACCACAGCAACAAGAGCCACTATCACACATACCACAGAAGCGATGATTAGAACTGAGAACACATATAAACATGCATGGTTATGTTCATGTGAAACTATTATTAAACGTCAACCAACGTCTTTATGTAAAACAAGAATATGACTATATGAATAAATTTGCTACTCTATATTTACTATTTTATTAATAAGTAATTTCATAGAAATGTAATAAAACATGTAATGATTGTTCATAATCATTAATTAAATACTGTTGTCAGTAATTCACACAACCTAAACTATGATTACACGATGATAAAGCGCGCAATGTACCATTACTCAGTTTTACAGTCATGTGGGTTACCTTTTGTGTTTGATCCCTGGGTTGTGGTTTGAATCTGTGGTGTTGATGTTGTAGATCCTGTGTGGATACAACGTTCAAGTACAACTATATACACTGCCACGCATGTGCGTTACTATAGAAACATGAACAAGGTCAAGATACATAAACGAGATACAAGATTTATGGACATCAGCTCTCAAATCTCTAAATATGACGTTCCGAGGCTACTTCTCGCGCTTTCATTAGGGGAAAGTGTGAGTGAGAGATTGGTTTAACGTCACGGTGTATAAGCTTCATGTCGGAAGAAAGCCCGAAGAGTTCCAGGTCTAAGACGTTCACCATTTAGGTGTAACCCACGAGCACATGTATAATGCTCACAAACATAGAAACATAATCGAACCTACGATCATCAGTTTCTGGAGTGCCCAAGGGACGCAACATTGCAGAGCGAATTGCGGTGCCTTAGACTAGGCCACCCGTGCCCCCACTAGGAGTGTGAAGGGCAAGAATATACCATCGATAGTTGTGTTTAAAGAATACAAAAGGTGAGATATCTTTATTGTATGTCTCTATAGCTGTACACGGCCGTGCATCAACAGATATGTAGACTTGTACTTGTCAAGGATAAAATAGGTAAATGGTAATCCATGTTTACAAAAATATGTTACTGATATATTCTAACATGCCTTGGCATATTTCAGCATTTACCCGATTGAATACTATTTCACGAACATTGAGGCGTTAATGTGTATATAAATACAAAACACATATCGCCAAGTAATATTCGTTTCTGCCGATCAATGTACATTTTACATAAAAGACATAACACCGGTTGGATATGGAGGAACTACAATTGTATACATGATATGTACCTTGCGTGGAAGCATCCGTGGTTTCATTTCGACAAGGTACGTACCAATCAGAACCTGTCAATGTAAGATACAAATTATGTAGAAAGCGCGAAAATCTGTTTTAAATACACATATCTTATTTCTCATAAATAGTACCATTAACTTACATCAGAAGTGTTACCCATTTTACATACGTAACTAGTCAAGTCGAGCTGTGTAACGTAACGCCAGCCGCAAAACATGTCAATATATCAATGTGTAAACCGTGCCTTTTGTCTCATCTTTCACATTTGACAAGATGCATATATCACTGATCGTGTCCAACCCTCGTAAACATGAGAGTTGATGACAAGGTTATCCTCATCATATTTGAGCTTGGAGTATATTCATACGAACACTTTGAGACCATGGCAGGCTGTTTACTCAGAAGGGTACACTAATCGACTCACTGCCATACGCCCTTGCCTGTGTACTAGTATTTATGATGTCAACAGATACACTCTGGCATAGATACTTACTGGTACTTGTGTTCGATGTGCAGACATAATAGTTGGAGTCACTACAGTTGGCGCCCTCGAATGACCCATTGAAAGATGTCCAGCAGGTATCTGTTAGGTTAAGAATATTATTCAGTGGATGTTCATCCATTGTAATATCTGTTTATAACAATTGGATGTTTTCAACAATAATTAACCATTGTCAGTTGAATGTCAATCTGTTTCGCTGTTCTGTCTGGGTAGCAATCAACATTGTAGAACTGTAGCTCATGTCACAAGCTTGAAGTGAGGGAGAGTAAGGTTCAGTAAAAGCAGTGGCGGGTGATCAAGGTTCACAACATTACCATTTATGTTTATCCATATCTTGGTGTGTTCAGCAGTAGCATTCTTCAACACATTGCTGCCGATGGATGTAATTAAATCTTCTACAGAGAATATCTCGGCATCGTTGTCGATGCAGTTTGTCACCGCTGCCGACCAATTGAGAGCAACACAGGAAGATTCAAACGTTAAGTTGTCTGAGGAGAAACAATTATATCATTAGTTCAACAAATAATTCATACCTTAATCAAAACAGGATAGACTGAGTCAAATAGTGAGTGAGTAAGCGCTTTAGCTTAAACAGTGATTTGATTGTGTTAATCAGTTATGTCACAGGGATTAAGCTTAATTATGAGGAGAGGTTAAAAAAATATGACGGTCGTTGACGTTTTGACATTTTTGCAGCCCACAAGCAGGGGAATAGTGCTGACGAAATATGGGTCATATTCAGGAGTATTCCTTGGTCCTACGTACCTCGGTCACATATTGCATGGGATCTATTTAATAAAATGGAATACATATATACCTCGGTCACATATTGCATCGGATCTATTTAATAAAATGGAATACATATATACCTCGGTCATATATTGCATGGGATCTATTTAATAAAATGGAATACATATATACCTCGGTCACATATTGCATCGGATCTATTTAATAAAATGGAATATATATATACCTCGGTCACATATTGCATGGTATCTATTTAATAAAATGGAATACATATATACCTGGGTCACATATTGCATGGGATCTATTTAATAAAACGGAATACATATATACCTGGGGCACATATTGCATGGGATCTATTTAATAAAATGGATTACATATATACCTCGGTCACATATTGCATGGGATCTATTTTATAAAATGGATTACATATATACCTACACATTGCATGGGATCTATTTAATAAAATGGAATAAATATCACTCCGGGCTTTCCTCCCACATTGATCTGACACGCCGCGATTTAACTGGAATACTGTTAAAAACGGCGTTAAACCCAACTCACTCACTCATTCTATTTAATAAAATGAAATACTTATATAACTCGGTCAAAAATTGCATAGGAAATGAAACAAATACAGTTCGTAAAGAAACATTTTCAAGAGAATAACAATAATAATGTCCAGATGTAATATGCACTCTAAAAACTTTACAATAGGACAATAACACATTTGTTTTCACAACAGATAGTGAAAGTATTACCGTTTTTGTAATTTGGACTTGTCGCCGTGTATTTTGTAATCTTTGTTGAAGATCCTGTAATGTGAAATCGATTGTGCCTGTAACTACAATATATCACACATATATATCATATATATATTTTTTAATTTGAAGTTTACATCATATACGGCTTTTACATTGGATGATAAGTCGGTCACATGATCGCGAAATTGACGTTCATAAGAGTATGGACAAGACCGTGTTTTTGAAATGACGTAAACACTGACGGACTGCTTCCATATTCCCAGGGTTTTCCCTAGCACGAATACATACAGAAGCGTTCTCACTGATCATTTAGACCTTTAATCTTGAACTCAGAGTTTTATCATCCATTGAGAAAAGTCAGAGAGCTTGACTGCATGATCGTTCACTATTAGCCTTGCTATGACCCATGCTAGTGAGCAAAACGAAGAAATGCACATCCAAACTATCGTAGTATGGACTCAATCCGTGGCCACGCTGACAGTGACAGTCCACAGTAATCTATGAAGTGAACTCAGTGTATATTTGGATCATCTTTAATCGCCCTTCAATGAACGGCCAATTGATCAATGATGACTGAAACATGTAACCGCCACATGTTCATTAGACTTTCGAAATCGCTCCCATCACGTGTATTGTGTCGGCTCAGGACGCGCTGTCATTGTGACTGACTTACTGAGGGAGATTTTGAGAGACCTTCCTTATCTAATGGTGATATTATTTGAATACATGTGTTGTGTCAGATGTTTCTGAAGAGTACGTTCTGCAAACATACGCTCATGCCACCTCTGTTTTGAGGAACTATTTTATTCCGCGATACAGCTGGTTGTTGTATGGCTGTCAGTGTAAACATGATGTCACACGTACTTAATAAACTTGTGTTTAAATCTAGGCCTAAATCCTTTGAGGTAAACAAAATGTGAAAAACATTTAAAAGTTGTATGAGTTTATTAGAGTATGAACCTTCATAGAATGAGAGCCAAACATCCTTAATTTACTAAAGATATGCAGTTTGTCTAGTCTACCACTTGTAATGACGCTAATGACAAAAGCTGCTACTTTTCACAATTTTGCGCCATATTGACAACCGTAATCGACGTTTTGACATTTTAAAAATAATAACCACAATCACGGGAATAGTGCTGATGGACCAGGGATCATATTCAAAACTATATAATGTCCTATATTGAAAAGAATCTGTTTATAAGTAGCAATGAATTCTGATTTGGATAAGGAATGCAAATCACAGCGAGTTGTGACTCTTTACATCGAGCATTTATAGCATTGGATCTTTTTAGTTACGTGAAAAACATATTTTACCAATACATTTGAACATGTTTTATTATGTCAAATCCATGACTCAGTTAATTTATTCACAGTTTCAGAGACTCATACACTTTTTATTGCTATTTTGCCGTTCACGCACAATGGAATCTGTTTCGTCGGATAATCGAGACTGGTTATTCTCTGGCGTTGACGTTTTATATAGTTAAGGGTCAACACACTTATAAACTAACACTATTAGCCATGCCTAGAAATTGTAGAAAATGGCACTTGAAGATGCGAAAATTATTCTGATAGAACAATATATGTATACACACTGTCATGCTCAATAATCATTTTCTTAAAACAGAGTGAATTATCGAAATCGCATGTAACTCCAATACAAATAATCCACATCAAAGTACAAACTCTATGTAGGAAACCTAATAAATACACCTGCACTCGCACCTATACAAGTGCTCATTCATACACAAGACGAGATAACCCACAATATGAAAACTGTTTCTCACCTGTGGTAGTATTGCTGGTAGTACTGTGTGTGTGGCTCGGGTTCATCAGTATCAGTACCAATAACACAAAGCTACCAGGTTTTACAGGGGAGATGAACACAGAAGCCATCCTTCATACGCGACGCTGTGTAAATACTGACACCACACTCACGTGTACCGTAGAGATAATGTGACTCAGTTTCCTGCTTCGTTACTGATACCAGTTCATGACTGGCTATGACAATAAACATCCCAGCTGATAGCGCAGGCAAGCGTAGTACAAGTGAAGAAAGGTCCCTTATCTTAGAAAAGTCCCTTATCTATGAGGAAACAACATGTCCTCTTGTATTTGATAGCAAGCAGATAATTTATTCGAGGTAAATGTTGCAGTGTAAACTGTATACACGTGTTTACACATTTTCATGGTACTATTGTAATACTAAACACATCATAAATATGTCAATATTTATGGTTGGATGATGTTTGCATACATTTGTCCGAACACATAAACGGATAATGCATCAATGCAATATTATACAACGCAGCTTAACATTCGGCAGAGTGAAGTAGTTTACTTTTACCGCTATTTTGTGTTTACGCCCAATGGCAAGCCATTCTGTTCGGCCTATCGAGAATAGTTATTCTCTGGCGTTGATTACTTCATATATTTACATGAATGTGTATATTTCATGATAAAACAGACTGGAAAATGTCGAGGTTTGCTCTTTAAATAAATGAAATGAGAAAAAAAACTAAAATAATACATGCTAATGTTCACCATGTTTTAGTTCTCAAACATGGCCGGACCCCCTCCTGTCTTGTCGGTTTGTTGGTAACTTGTCATCCATATGTGTCCCTATCAAGTTGCGATCTTTCCCTACTTAGTAACGTGGATTCATAACTGATTTCATTACAGATCGAGAGAAATTTTTGAAACTAAATATTCCTGCTTGGTGAACAATACTGACTAATGTTTGCAGAAGGGTGACAAGAGTTACCTCCCCCTGGATGAGTAATCAGTGTTTATTTTTACCATACAAATAGTATCATATTTCACTGGCTAAACTTCACGGTTTAATAGAAAATGGCACTTAAAGATGCGATAATTATTCTGATATATCGAGTTTGACAGAACAATATATGTATACACACTGTCATGCTCAATAATCATTTTCTTGAAACAGAGTGAATTATTGAAATCGCATGTAACTCCAATACAAATAATCCACATCAGAGTACAAAATCTAAGTAGGAAATCTAATAAATACACCTGCACCCGCACCTATACAAGTGCTCATTCATACACAAGACGGGATAACCCACAATATGAAAACTGTTTCTCACCTGTGGTAGTATTGCTGGTCGTACTGTGTGTGTATCTCGGGTTCATCAGTATCAATACCATTAACACAAAGCAACCAGGTTTTACAGGGGAGACAAATACAGAAGCCATCCTTCATACGCGACGCTGTGTAAATACTGACACTCCACACTCACGTGTACCGTACAGATAATGTGACTCAGTTTCCTGCTTCGTTGCCAATACCAGTTCTTGACTGGCTATGACAATAAACATCCCAGCTGATAGCGCAGGCTAGCGTAGTACAAGTGAAGAAAGGTCCCTTATCTTAGAAAAGTCCCTTATCTATGAGGAAACAACATGTCCTCTTGTATTTGATAGCAAGCAGATAATTTATTCGAGGTAAATGTTGCAGTGTCAACTGTATACACGTGTTTACACAATTTCATGGTACTATTGTAATACTAAACACATCATTAATATGTCAATATTTATGGTTGGATGATGTTTGCATACATTTGTCCGAAAACATAAACGGATAATGCATCAATGCAATATTATACAACGCAGCTTAACATTCGGCAGAGTGAAGTAGTTTACTTTTACCGCTATTTTTGTTTACGCCCAATGGCAAGCCATTCTGTTCTGCCGATCGAGAATAGTTATTCTCTGGCGTTGATTACTTCATATATTTACATGAATGTGTATATTTCATGGTAAAACAGACTGGAACACGTCGAGGTTTGCTCTTTAAATAAATGAAATGAGAAAAAAAATAAAATAATACATGCTAATGTTCACCATGTTTTAGTTCTCAAACATGGCCGGACCCCCTTCTGTCTTGTCGGTTTGTTGGTAACTTGTCATCCATATGTGTCCCTCTCAAGTTGCGATCTTTCCCTACTTAGTAACGTGGATTCATAACTGATTTCATTACAGATCGAGAGATGTTTTTGAAACAAAAATATTTCCTGCTTAGTGAACAATACTGACTAATGTTCGCAGAAGGTTGACAAGAGTTACCTCCCCCTGGATCAGTAATCGGTGTTTCTTTTTACCATACAAAAAGTATCATATTTCACTGGCTAAACTTCACGATTTAATGTTAGTCGATCTTCGTTGAAAATACAGAAATGATAATGTCTTTTGGTTAATGTATAACTCGAAGAGAATGCTAAGACCCATATCCCTCTCGCCATTTCACGGAAGTATCGTATTGTACCGAGTGACCCGTATACCGGCTTGACTGACCTGGATCAGGGACAGTTCACTGAAAACGTGAGTGTGTATTGACGCATGAGCATCACCCCAGCTATATAACACCGTTAGATGACATGTCACATCGTATGATCGCCACTTATTCCAACACAAATAGTTCAGTTCCCTCAATCAGCTTATAATCAGTGAAGGCACAGGGCCACGGATAGCCATACTACACTGACTGTACTGATTACATTTTTTTAATGTAATCAGTACAGTCAATATAGTATGGCTATCCGTGGCCCTGTGAGTGAAGGTCTTGATCAATTACCAATGCGAAGCCGAACTGACATAGACTATGGATGGTTTTAGTTAATTAAACTCGAGGTCTAGTGGATAGGACAAAAATCCGTAAGGTCGGTTGTTCGATGCCCTGGCTGCGTCCAACCGGGGGAGTTAAAAGTAGTTGTTATGTTACCCTGGCGCTCTGCTTTAAGGGGGAAAACAAGGACTGGTCGCCTCGTAATCTGTCGTGGTTGGGCATTCATGATGTACTGCGGCATACCATCTCAGAGCAACCACAGACCGATCAACACCGACAGACAGCTGTCTAATCCATATCAAATCAAAGTAATAAACATTGCATTAATACATACGGGGAACGGGAGTTGTAGCACAGTGTGTTTCGATATTTTACCTCTCAAAGAAAAATATAAAGCTCAGGTGGACGAGTTACTTCCCTTAGGCGTGTAAGGATCGTATGATGGGATATCATTACCCATAGAAACGTGAAATAAGATGACGTGTTTGTGAATCGCTCTCACTGCAAATGTCCTGATCGAGATTCCAAACGTACAGCGAGCTGTTAATGCAACAGATCGACAAGAGAAATACAATATGTCACAAAATGAGTGAAAATAAGAGTAGAAAAGGACTTCGTCAAAATGACTCTTGTGATTCGAATAGAGGGGACATTCCTATTCGAGTGCCACGTCGATACACAAAAGGAAGCTTAGTGCGTGAGTCTTTATATACTTTGTTCACACCTAACCCGTTGTACCAGAATATGACGTATACTGTTGAAGGGCGATACAAACAATACATTCGTCTCCAGGCACAGCAACTTAATCAGGATGCAACAGCATTGATAAGGGTAGAAAAGGACGAAAGTGACATTAAAGTCAACATTGCGAATCTGGAACTGAAAGTCAAGACAATAGATAAAAGATCGCGCTACTTACATTGAAGCCAATGCTACCTGTATCAGTGATAGTCTTGACGAGTGGGAAAATGACCAGAAAACAATAGAAGGGGACGTACAATCCCTCAAACAACAAATGGGTGAATTGAAAAGCATTGACGAAGAAGATTTGGAACTGAGAGAGTCACTAATCGACCAAATAGCTCTATGGGAGACACAGTGTTATATTTACAAACATCAAAGAGCTGAGTGGAGTCGACGGGGATGGTGGAACTTGGGAAGAAACTGAAAATCTGCTCAGAAGGTCATTCAGGATGAACTTTAATTTGAAAGTGATAAAGTGCATTTTCATTGTAAATCAGGAAGAAAAACTAACCACCCCGTCAGGGTGAGGATCCGCGACCCCGCCCTGTCATCGCCACGTTTATGTTCACCCGTGAGAGGGACGCTGTCAAACGTCGTGGGAAAGAGTTAAAAGGGAAATCATTCCAGGTGTTGTTGACAAACTTGTCATACTCTTCAAACACCTGATATACCATCCCCTCACAGACCACAACGCCCGACAACCAAACCGAGGCCCTCAAAGGAAAGTGCGGGTGGACAAGCGCGGGAACAGCATGGTGTTGTAACACGAGATAACTCGTAAAGGATACCTCCAAGTCAGATATATGAAACTAATAAACGTGAAGACATTTCAGTTAACATGGTGAGTGAGATACTACTACAATTTTGAGCTACCGACAATAAACCAGATGTGTTTGAATGTGTCGGTAGTGTCAGTGACGCTGTCGTTAGCCCACGTGTTTGTGAATGGTCAGACCGTGCAAGCAGACACAGCGTCCGAAATAACTGCCTGCCCGCCTGCCCGTGGCTGCTAACTTTTCTGTCGGCCTGCCGGAAAATTTTGTCCTCCTGCAGATACTTTTTTGCAGATTTTGACTACCTGTCAGATAATTTAAGACTTACGTATTCAGTTTTATTATAACTCCTTCCAGACTCCCAAGTAATTGTCTGCATTATTTCAACTGAATCAAGATGCGATGTCCCCTTATATTGCGCGACTTATATACTATATATGCGCGACTTGTATATTATATATATTGTTTATTCACAAAAGTGTTAGGCCGTAGGCCTATTACACAGAAATATTTACAGAGAGAGGGAGAAAAAAGAATTACCACTAGTTTACATATACATCCATATCCATACACATTCATACACATGCATATACACAAATGAATATTTAGACTGTATGTAATGAACGAGGTCGAAAAGCTTTGTAAACGTAGACTGCTAGATTTCGTATGATTTTAGAGTTAGTGGATGACATAAGAGCATTAAATTTATTTTTAGAAGGGGTTGTAAAATATTTAGGAGGAATGTATTCAGCTCTTAAATTATTATAAGCATTGCATACAAGCACAAAATGATATTCGTCCTCAATAAAATTCTGGTTACACATCAAACACAGTCTCTGTTCTCTA